CTCCAGTGACAAATGATGTCTATGAAACACATAAACAGAATCAGGAATGCATTATTCATAAATTCTATAAGGACCTTTTTAGCCCTAACCCTAGAAAAAGTGAAAGTAGTGACAGCTATTGGTTAGCATATGCATTCCCTCGCTCCAATCTTTTTGTTTTCCATATGTTTTACAACCCTTAGAGTCTCTTTTCGCCAGCAAAGTAAAAAACACACCGATTAATGCCCACATATTGTCTCCAGACAGGGTCAGGGGGCTTCCAGTAGCTGAGTCAGACCTCTTACTGGAAGCCCGTGAGTCACCAGTCTTCCTCTACCCCCTAATCCACCCCTCTTCTCCCCTCATCCTCCCCTCCTCCTATATATCCCATATATCAACTACCCCTCTCAACCTACACTATCCCCAGGCTTCTCCCTTGCTTCAGGTCATCCATGCATGCAAACATAGACGCAAAAGGTGTTGGGATTTGAAGCAGGTTGGTGTTATTGTGCAGGCAGATTATTTACTCTCTTTTACTTTTCCAACATATAAGTGCACGCATTCCTCAGAGAAGAGAATGTCCCCATAAAAGCCTACCACCCCTCTACCCCGACACCCATTATACCCAATCCCCTCCCCTCCCCCAATTCTCGGGTTCCCCCCCTTTCTTCTTACCCCCTTTCCCGAACCGTAATGATCTCACCCAGCTGTCACTGTGTAATCCCACCCACACGCGCTACAGGACTGAAGTCTGTTGCTGCTGCCGGTGGCGGCTGACATCATTTGTTTTGCCCTTGTCACCGTTTCCCTGAAATCCAAAACACAATGCCAGTCAGAACCTTTTTGAACAATGTTCTCTGGTATTTTGGTTTAAGTTCAAGCAATGTAATCAGTGTAAATGCTCTAGAAAAGCTAGGAAAAGCTCTGTGACAGTTTGAATTTATATTGTAGAGTGGCAAATAACCAGGATTGTATTGTATTGTGCAACAGGGGTTCAAAATAGAAAAAGTAAAAATCATACTGATCCAACAGACAAACTGAAATAGATAAATGGGACAAATATGGACAAAATGTGTAAGGCAGTGCAAGACACCATCATCACTGATTATGGCTTTAAAAATCTAAATTGAGTTGAATCCTCTCTGATACAATCTCAACAAAACCCTGCAATAATAGAGTCTTTGGCCACACCACACTGACACAATATCACCTTTAAAAAACAACATTTCTTATTTTCAGATGATTATACACTAAAACATATCTATTATATTCCATTTCTGCTAATAGATCCTCCAAATTACACTGCACCTTTAAACATCTGTACAGTACAAGACAATATACACAATTTATTACACAATTCTTCAGATGATGTTAGGTAATCATACACTAGCTCTTTAATTTTCAGATGTTTTCCACCAACATGCTTTTATATAAAGTGAGTAAAGGGTCTTTGTAGCACAATCGTTAATAAAAAAGTAATTTCTCATTTAAACTATACCTGTTTCTCACTTATTTTCTAAGTATTTACATTCAATTTATGATTGGATTGCATTAGATTTACAGATAAATGCATATATATATATTATATATAGTATATGTCGGCACTGTGACTAAGAACCAAAGACAAGACAGATGCTTTCTGTTTGAGTAGTATATATATGAATGATGTTGAAATGAAGATCATGTATTGTGTTATCTCTGTGTGTGTGTGTTAGAGAGAGAGAGAGAGAAGTGTAGGCAAGATGATGAGTGGTTCTCTGGTGGTTTCCGTAAATACAGAACGACTTAAACAAAGTGACCTTTATGCTAAACGCCTGCGCATCGGCTCTGGGCATTTACACAGGGACACAGATTACTTTTTCATGACTAACTTCTCCTCACTAACCTTCAGACCATTTTCTAGCGTGACAATGTGGGCAGACAAAAAACAGAAAAAACATCCTAAACTCAATTAAACCACCTTTTCGTTTAACCAATTAAGCCTCTAGAACCATGTGGCCTAGGTTTAAATCCAGCAGGATGTTCCCCCCGTTTCTCCCATTACTACATTCTCTCTTGTTAGAGGAAAGTTAAGTCATTAAAGTCATACTAAAAAGACAGTTAATTCTATAAAATGGTTGGGAACTGTTTTAAGCCTGAAAACATTTGCTGTCACTCTACCATGCAATGATAAGTGGTTTCTAAAGATCTGTGGGGTTACATAAAATATGTTTCAGAAAATAAAAGCTCTTTTAATCATTACTACATTTTGGCTTTATTTTAAGTTTTCAACAGAGAGAGACAGGTGATCTTATGAACAGAGGGGGATGGGGGGGGCAACATATGACAAAGATCCAAGGTGGGATTGGGATAAAAAAAAGAAGTAACGGTATGCCAAATACTTCCATAAAATAAATATTTAGGTTATGGTGGTGGCGTTAACGTCATGGTGACCACTGGCCGAGGTTAATCTTATTTACATTGACATCCTTGATTTCATATGCCTCTCTGACAGGAAATCTTCCTCAACAGCACTCTGGTGGCCGTGGGCGTCGAGCAACCAATCGAAAAAAAGGAAAATCTTATGAGGGCCCTCACCAGAGCGTCACCATGGTCAAGCACCACCGGAAGGAGATGTGTATGGGTGTGTGTGTGTGCATGGGCGTACTGGAGCGCATTTGTGATCCACACACGGCTGAGCGCAGCCGGAAGCTGTGCACTCGGGTGCCTGGTGTAGGAGTTGGGTTATTGAAATGAGAAAAACCCTGCAGCCTGAAAGACTCAGAGATCAGCTATTCTCGCCTGAACGGTGATGTGTCAGAATGTAAGAGGCGTCAGTGATCAAAAAATGAGCGCCGCCCACAACCTCAGGGCCCGGCCGTAGTGTAAATCTAACACTGTGTTTATGTAATTTGATGTTTATGCAATGAAAAGGACCGGACTGGGCTGAGATGGATGGTGTAGTGGCAGTTGAGGGGGTGGGTATGGTGTGCACCCACCTTGCTTTAATTACCATATTTCAAAGGAAATTAGACTGTTGGAGGGAGCATGGCTTATATATTTAGAGTATATTCTAAACATTTAGAGAAAGAGATGAGCTGTGTTTTTATTCTCTGACAAAGTAAAAAAGTGTCCAAGGTCTGAATTCTGCTTTGTTGCTGGTCTGCTTTGTTGCTGGTGCCTAAACAGACCCACCGAGGAGCAAAAGACTGCAAACAGAGCAGGATTCACTGTACATATTCCTGTTGTTACATGACGACCTAATTTAGATAATCTTCTTGTTTTCACTTCAATTTAAGGATAACTTTGTGTTATGGGTTGAGTAATTTCTCCAACCCCGTGGGCTTGCAAATTCCTTTCCAAACCCCATCGGATGTCAGGAAAATCATTGTCATCAAGACTGTTTTTCTTAATTCTTAAAAAAAAGTAATGCAACTTGCCACATGTAATTAATGCGGCTCCTGTAAATAAAGATAAATCCAGTAAATTACCACTTTGCCTTCACTCCCTGCTGCGTTTAGAGTCAATGACTGTGTTTATAGATTTACTCAAAGCCAGGTTCAATTTAATGGTTTAGCAATATACAGCTACAGCTACGACCAGGTATAATTACCTGTGACCAACAGTCTGGTGCGACTGACCAAATACAGTTTGAGAGCGTGTTCTTTTTACTGCACCTGTAGACACAAACATTGTAAGCAAAAGTGGTGTTTGGCACAATAAAAGGGTTGTAAACTAAATCTGAAATCTTGCTTACTACCAAAACACACCACCAACAACACTTGATTTATCCTGTTTTCAGCTGCAGTGCGAAACAACAATAACAAAACTTTAACAAAAAAATTAAAGCTGCACTTAAAAATAATTCATTTTAACAATGGCCCAAAGCTGTGTAATATGAAAGGGACCACTTATAATAACAACCCCACACAAAATGATCACCCAACTCTCCAGTTATCCTCAGCTCAATGGGGCGTTGTAGCGACTTTCAACTCATTGTTTTGGCTCTCCACAAACTCTGCTCTCACCAGTGTCCTTTATAAAGCAACCAACAGCTGTTTTCTGCTATAAACCCTTTGATAATATGACTAATACACTTCCCAGAATCAAACAGAAAGTTACTGACTGGCTGGTAAACATAATGGAGCATTAAGCAGCTAAAAAGGCAACACAGGAAAAAGGAATTTTATACATAGTCAGGTGACCAGAAATATGATTAAGTGAGCATTTTGCTCAGCGTCTGCTGGATGTGTAAATAGACTCTTGTTCACCATAACAAGGAATATATATATATATATATATATATATATATATATATATATATAAGGCTTATAAGACATACAGTATGCCACATGTGTTTTGAGTTTGTTCCACTGACCACAAGTGGCCAGATCAATAAATGACTGACTGCTGCTTTAAGCCAAGAAAATGTTCAGTACTGAAATGAAACCTAGAATGAAACTCAAATGGTCAGCATGAGTGATTTGTAGCATATGGCCTTAATATGCAAAAAAAAACAAACTAAAAAACAACAACAATGCTACAACGCACAATGCCACGTTACAGGACTCTTCTTTCCTATCACCATCATCTTCCTAATAGCTCCTATAGAACTGCTATATTCTTCTCCTATGGACTTTGTGTCGCAAACGGTGCTTAATGACATCATTTACGACATAAATACTTTAGAAACACGTAATAAAGCAGCTTCGACACATGTACTCCAACAAACTCTTGATTTTTAAGTCACTGGGACCGAGTTACAGCCACACACACAATCACATTCCGGGGGGAAACCTTACACCTTCCATATTTCAGCTCTCCAACAAAATCATCGCTGCTTCTGCGGTTGAAAGGAGAGAACGCGACGGACGGCGAGCCAGCCAATCAGAATGTCCGGAGATTTTCGATTTTTCGACTCCTCCGCTGCGATTGGTCCGCGTCGCCCCTAGAGGCACCCGCCCCCGCGTAGCGATTGGCCGGTTTTCCCGGCTCTATGGAAGTCATTTGAATACGCCTCGCTTTGAGGATCATTACAGCGCTGCTGGTTCAAATTCACTCAAACTATCAGGAGTGGAGACACAATGGAGGAGAGCACGGCACAGACACATTGCTGAAAGACTTATGTGAACGTTGCGCACCCTGCAGCTTTAACCGGATCGGAGATTACAGTTTGGGCTTTGTTTCTGTTCTTTTTCTACTGTTTCTGCCAGTAAAAAAAAAAAAAGATTGGATTCGGACATTGAGCTGCATCACATAAGAGGTAAGTTCAGGGTGTGGATGATGGGCTTATTTATAGGCACAATAACTTTATTCTTGTTGGAATTAAGCTTCATGGTCAGAAAGTTATGTACTGGATTCAGATCTGGTATGTTACTCATGAAAAAATGTTTAATATGATGATAATAAGACATTTCACTTTGCAGAATTAACCTTTATAGTCACAAAATGATTTTATTTCATGTTGCTTAGGCTCGTCATAATTAAGGGTTATCTAATGGCTACAACAAACCTGAAATTCCTAAAATGAAATTCTACTGATAAAATCATGTTAACTGATCTTCCCTAATGTCTATTTTCTTCCTCCTAGCTACATTTGTTGTTGTTATTGTTTACCACCCATGTGAGTTTATAATTAGGCTGGCTGTCAGACACAAACAAACATTACTCACCAGCACCTGTGATGGGGACTGTGGTTGCACAGCATGGGTTTTCACAGTCAGCTTTTACTTTTACTGTGTTATGACTCAGTCAGAAGCCCATAATGTAGACCAGGCATGGTGGCCTGGTGTGTGTGTATGTGTGTGTGTGTGTGTGTAGGAGAGAGAGAAGAACAGATTGTGTATGTGTCTGTGGGGAAAAGAAAAGAGAATGAGAGAAAGTGTGTGTTCTTCTGGCCAAACCATCTTTAAACAGCTTTATTCCCTCCACACCTCTCTATATAAGCCAATGGTCCCTTAACTTGCTGAAATGAATGCCTCAATCTGCCTGTACTTTGAAAGCTTATGTGACTAATAAATCTCAAATTAAATTGCCTAACTTTAATAATTAACACAGAAGGCTGTCTTTGGAGCACACACACAACATTTTGGGGCTTCAGCTGGTAAAAGCCAATAAAATCCAGTTGTTTTCCAACTTCAATCTTAAAATAAAATGTTCCTCCTGTGTGGCTAGGCAGTGGGTTGTGGGATCTGTAGCTTTATAGACAATAGAAAATGTGTGAGAGAGCTTAGGTTTATTATGTCCCGGCAGCAGGGGAGATAATTTGTCTTTATCCATTCTGACTCTAGGTTAATGCTGTACTAGCCTACCAGATCATACAAGGGACAGGTGTGTTTGCGTGCGCATGTGTGCCACCATGCACTTATAACTCAGTGGGTGTGTGTGTGTGTGTGTGTCTGTGTCTGTGTGTGTCTGTGTGTAGAGCCTACACACAAAGAAATGCACGCCTGAATACAGTGTGTGTGGGGATAAAAGATGAAAAACAGGACCAGCAGTGGGTGAATTGTGTTTCACATATCTCTCCAGCCAATCTGAGCGTGGTGTCTGCATCCGGCTCTGTTTGCCTATCTATCAGATTTAGTTGCAGGTGCAGGTTTTTTTTAAACTGGTCAGCGGGTCCCAGTGTCTGGTGTTTTGAAAGTGGCTGCAGGCCTCAACTGACCCTGTGCGCTTACTCAAGCGTGAGTGGAGCAGTTTGTTTGAGCTCTGCGCCGTTTCCTACTTTAGTTTGGCTCCTTTGGTCAGGTGATGATGACGCTCGAAGTCTGGTGGTAATGGTGAGTCTCCGACCTCAAACATGTGAGCTGTGGTACAGATTATGGGTATGCAGGTTCTTGGATCACCAACTCAAATAAATAAACCCCATCTTGACTGCTTGTATTCAGCTGTGTATTCATATGTTCTGTACAGGAGAAGAGACAGAGAAGTGGACTGAAGTAACAGTTATTCTCATTTTAGATGATTATGTTTCTGATTAATAATTTAGTTCAAAAAATGAAAGTGAATAGTGAAAAATGCCCATTAAAATTCTCTTTTGTTCAAGGTTATATGCTCAGATGTCTTTTGTGGTCACATCAGACAAAGAAAAGCTGCAAAACTTCACATTTTTTTGCTTTAAAAATCTACTACCTACTACTATCTACTTGACTTATCGAATTAAGTTAGATTTGGTGGGATGTTTCTGCGTCTGTGAGACCCCAAAACTCAAAGTATCCTGTGTAAGAATGAGAAACATACACATTTTTTTCCCAGCATAGAACATTTTTCAGGCTCTTTGGTCAAATTCTATGCCACATTCACCAAAACCTGTCAATTTCTGCGGTAATAAAAAGAGTTACATTAAATGCAACACTGCCCACTGTATTGCAAGGCGGTGCTATAGATGAAATCTAACAGAAGGTGAGTTTAGTTAAACAGGTCTGATAATATTTAAAGGTTTAAAGCATTTCATCACAAAAATAAGACCAGACTGTCTCCGCTCCGCATCGTAGATTCATCTCATTTGGCCATAAATGACATTCTGAATTCCTCTAACAGGAAGTAACAAATCAAAGTTTGGGAGAACAGCAGTGAGTGAAGCCCTCCTTCCAGAGAAAAATTTACTCACTAATATTAAACGTTTCCCCTTCTTTGTTTTTCTTTGCTTTAAGTGCTCTGTGCAGGTCACTGACATAATCTTACAGGACTTTCTGTGTATGGTAGTGTGCTGCTGTAAGGGTTAACTCTTGTATGTGCAAAACCGTTTCGTGGGCAGCTTTTGACAAAACCACGAGTAAGTGATACGAGCACAGCCTGGACTTTAACCTCATTTATTGTTAAGAATAAGGCTGACTGTGAAGGGTTTCCCTCAGACTATGGCGCTTGTCTTGCTCGCACTCCTTACCTGCTGCTATGTATTAGTGTCAAACTACACGAGGTGCAAAGTGGAACAGAGGTAGCAATGCTGCATTGCAATAATATGGCCTTTTACTACAGTAATCACTACTAAATTGTTTTACAGGCCCTCCTATCAGGTGCTTTGCTCTCTCACACCATGGGTTCATGTTGTGTCAAAACCCACATGCTGAAAGTTGAGTTAGTATATTTAAAGGGGCTTGCCATTCCTATTGCCCTATTGGAATTGATTAAATTGCTTACACATAAATTAATCACTCATTTAGACAACTTCATACTGCTTCTCAGCTACTTAAGATAATTTCTCTACAACATGATTGCTTAAGTTGCTGAAGTTGAATTGTTTTCCAGCTGCCAGCGTCACTTAAAGGCCTCGAGTCTGATTAGACGTCACAAAAGCAGGAGTCTTGGCAAACAGATCTTGTCTTGTTCCTTCCAGCTCCTGTTGTGGTTAAGCATCAGGGGGTTTCGGCACTGATTATTATTAGGTCCGTGAGTACGTAGATGCTCACTGGGATCAATAGGCTTTGAATAAAGACAATAAGGACTGACCAAGTTAGCTGCAGTGCTTGGACACAACAATGCATGATTATGCGGTTTTATAGTCTACGGTGTGCTGTGCATGTATTCCTCGCACTAAATGAGGGCTGAGGTCCTTGAGCCACGTGCAATTATATCTGCTCTTGTCAACACGAGGGTTTCGATATGCTCCTTTACTGAAGCCACCGAGGCAAATTCCTGTACCTTTATTGCACTTGGCAAAAAGAAGTGTGGCTTTATGGCGCATGACCTCACAGTAGATGATGCCTGTCAAGATATAATACGAGTTCACGCCTTACACAAGAATGAGAAAGTCTGCTTTACTGGTTTGACTGATGTGAAAATGATCCCCAGCCTCGGTTCGCGCAGAGGCAGGGTGTCACTCATACAGCCCGACGGTGGCTAGCAGAGTGTGTGAAAGCTGCTGTGTGCGTCTGATCTGCTCTGATCTCTTCCTGGGGGTCTTTGTGTGGCTGCTAATGCCATGACAGGATAGATAATACCTCTATTGTTGAAGACCTCCCCCTCCATCTCCCCCTCCTGTTAAAACTGGCCTCAGCATAGCTGGGTGTACCTTTTTAAAACCACATTATGTGATTCAGAACAAAAAAATAGTCCGCCTAAGGTTGAAAGATTTGGGTTGTTTTCAGCTCTGGAACCAACTGGGGTGAAGTTAGTCTTAAGCTGGCGGTGCTTCTGTTAATCTGCAGGGAGAAGCTAGTCCAGCTGCAAAACACCAGCACATAATTAATTTACTCAAACAACCTTTAAAGACACTTTTTACTGTCCTGCATTGGACAGTAAAACTTTTTACTAAAAACAGAGGCCGGACAGAGGCGGTAAAGATATTCACATATACTGAGATGTTCACCAACTGTCACATTTCATTGAAACTACCAAATTATGTTGTTTCTTTGAAGCAGTTTGGACAGATTTCACTGGTTTAAATCCATTAGCAGATGATATTTGCCTGCAGCTCCATCAAACGTTCAATTACTTTTAACCTTTTGATGAACCGGGTTATGACATTTTAGCCACCACACACTACAGTCTGTGCCATTTGTCAACACCAGAGATATTATCTGTTGTGTCAAACTGATGCCAGTTAAAGGGAAAATGCATTTTTCAGCACAGGACCAAACCTTGCACACATGAAATGGTACAATGTTTCGAACACAACTATACATTTCTGCCTCTTGCTGTATTTTTATTACCACATCAAACCTCTTTGTAAGGCAGCAATTTTCCAAAGTTTACAAACAAGAAAATTTAAACAATGCTCTCAATATGAAATTATGCTCCCAACGTCATCATTATGTCGTCCGTAGAGAGTCCAACCTATGATTTAGAGAGAGTAAAATTTCAGTGCTGCCGCATGGAACCCGCAAACCATCTGAAGGGTCAACTTTTCAGGAAGTCCGTCTGGAAAAACCAAGATTGGTTTTAAATTTTTAGACGTGTTTTTCCATTTTGTGTAAGGTCACCTTTCAGTGCAAACACGAGCTTGGAGACAGAAAAGCAGCATCCAAACTGGAGTAAATATTACTCAGTAGATTCTTATCTCAAGTTGACCACCGGAGCCGCGCTGTTCCAGATTACATATTGTAACTTTAGGAAGGTAAAGCCACTGTAATCTTTTAACCGAGTTAGAAGGAAAACAGCAGGCGGAGATCACAGGGTTCAGAAGACGGCCTGGCATTGGACTGGCTTACACTGGCATGGCGCCAGGCGCTGTGGCATACAAGAGAGTGTATGTGTGTGTGTGTGTGTGTGTGTGTGTGTGTGTGTGTGTGTGTGTCGCTCCAGCCATCATTTGTTTATGTGTGACATGTGTGTGTTTGGATTATACCGGCATGGGGCTAGGCGCCATTGGTGGACAAGGGTGTGTGTGTGTGTGTGTGTGTGTAAGATGTTGGCTCAGGCAGACACTCCTATGTCGGCGCTGTGATGGACAAACAAAAGTCTGCTGGATTCCTGCAGGGTTTTTGTTTTCTGGCACAGTGTACGTGCATGCGTGTACGTCGCTGTGCGAGGTACGTGTGTGTGTGTGTGTGTGTGTGCGCGGCTTGATTTACGCTGGCATGTGGTTCCTAGACAGACAACAGTAGCAGGATAAAGATGGCTCCAGAGTTAAAGCACGCCTTGGTGGTGCTCTGGGATCAGCTTACCTACCTCAGATCCAATTATCTACACCATTAAGACAAAACATCCATTGCTGTCCCAAGATCATCCATCTGTTGGCCTATTTCTTTCGGGTTTATGAAGCCCTGGTGCCAAAAAAATAGCTTAAAGAATGTGAGGAAAGAACAAGTAAGAGACAGTGGGACACATTTTAAGAGCAAGATTTGTAAAAACCTTCTTACCAACAAATAACTTAAAGGGAAAGTGGATTTCACAAGAACGTAGATTTCAACAGTTCAAAGCCAAAACAGTAAACAGAGGAGGGGTAAAATTATGTGATTAAGTATAATTACTTTAACAGACACATCTAAGACTCTGCTTTGCGTGATCGAGTTGCTCAAACAGATATTTTCACAACATGTGAATGCAGCAAATACGCATTCCCAGGGAGTGAGGGGGGGTTGAGTGAGTTGTTGTAAAACTACGCTTGTAGTCATGATTTTTCATTCAGATAAAGTAGAGTGACTTCTAATGTCTGATGATGACAATAATTTATTATTATGTGCTGGCTCCAGCTTCTCCAATGCCTTTGCTGCTTTTTAATCTTAAGTATATATTGACTACATTGGGTTTTAGACTGTTGATTCATTTAGGGAGCAGCCACCCTACTTTATTCACACCTTCTTTACGGCTGGGCGGTATGGCGAAATGTGCTATGTGACAGTAGGAATTTGTCTCTGCTTGTTGCTATCTTTTTTAATTTGTCAGGGTGTAGTAGGTGAGTGGTTACCAGAGGCGTTGCAAGTTAAATCTGGGGGGCCTTAAGATGATTAATGGGATAGAAAATAATCAAAAACATACCCTGCAGCACAGCATTTATTGTTTTTCAGACTTTTTCTATTATTATTGCCATTTTCTTGTGAAATACTAGTTCTATCCCTCAGAGCTGCCAAAAATAATTTAGATCACTCATAAGTTAGTACATTCTATATTAAGCATGACAAGGGTTCACAAGTAAGAAGTAGCGTTGTTTAAAGGGTACACAAGGTTAGGAACTGCTGTATTAGACTACTGACTACTGCTTTATGGGGTTTTATATGATTTTTGCATCTATATGATGAAATATCTTCATATGTCTGTGATATTTGATTTAATAGATTCGCAATAACCAATAAACAGACATTCAATAACAATTTCTTAGTTGATCGAGGAAGTGTATTATATCACCATATATATTGATATCATGTCCTAAAATTAAATATAATATGATAATCCCCATTGCCCACTCCTAAACTCCTCCATGTGTCTTTTCTACAGGTCATCATGCCTCCCACAACCCCGTATGCGGGAAAGTTCAACTCTTACAGCAACAACAACAACCACCCTCAGCCTCACAGCCCGTACCGCAACGGCACCGCCCCAAAGCCCGCGAAGGAAAACATCTACAACGGTGCCTACACTTCCGCAGAGAACCCCTACGACATACCGCAGCCTCACAGTTCGTACCGCAGCTCCTCTGTCTCCTCTGCGAACGCCAAGGAGCATCACTACAACAGCAGCTGCGCGGTTTCGGAGAACCCGTACTCCTCGCCGCAGCCCCACAGCCCTCGGCAGCACAGCACTTCCTGCCCCGGACGTGCGTACCGTCACACCAGCAGCAGCAGCAGCAGCGAGCAGTCGTGTCGCAACAACTCTGTCACAGCGAAAGCAAAAGGCAGAATTTACGGACACGGCATCACTGCTAGCTATGGGGAGATGTGTTACCATGACAACAGTTTGGTTTCAGCATCCCTTGAGGCGCTGATCCAGCACCTTGTTCCCACGGTCGACTACTACCCTGATGTAAGTACCAGGCAACTCCTCTGAATGTTAGAACACATTACATCTAGTGGTTGCAAACAGAGTGTGTCGTCCTCTCTTGCGTTCCTCTGTCGTTGTCGTTCCTCTCTCTCTAACAGCTCTTTTGTTTCCTCATCATCAGAGGTCGTATGTGTTCACCTTCCTGCTAAGTTCACGCCTCTTCCTGCACCCGTACGAGCTCATGACGAGGGTTTGTCACCTTTGTGTGGAGCAGCAGCGGTCCGGAGACGCCCTGCTGGATAAGGTGGGCGGATTGCACACATATGGGTACACATACTCGCAAGTATAATTAGACATAATCTCCCACTCAAACTCACACCCACCATAACATTGTCACACTCTCTCACCCACAGACACGCACGCACAAAACCCCTGTAATTCTTTTTTGGGAGAAAGTATTTATCGACTATTTCGTAAGCAGAGAAATTCCAGACAGATGGTTCAAATTGACACAGGGCAGATAAAAATGAATTTAATGAAAAGAACAAAGGAAGAATAATAGCAGCATATTGTCTCAGAAAGACACAGTGGCGACTTCTGTGTTGTTTGAGACATAAAGGCCATAAGGTTAGATTTTGTCTCAACAGATTACATCCATAAATGCTATAAAATGATATAATGTCTACTTTAGTGACACTTGACATGCCTTATGATGGTTTTTTAGATCCGTTTCCGTGAGGTTGCGCCTAAGCTGGTGCAGCTGCTGACCGAGTGGACGGAGACATTTCCATATGACTTCAGGGACGAGAGGATGATGCGTTGCCTCAAGGACATGACGCACCATGTGGCTCGAGGGGACGAGGTTAGTGTCAAATCTACTGTAGTTTTTCTTCAAAAACGATTTAAAACAAAGAATGCATGAGCAAATGTGTAGAAGGTGCCAGAAAATAGCTGCAATTAGCCCAACTTGACTTGTCTTTATGTTTGTGTCATGCTTCCAGTACTCTTGGCGAGCCATGCAGCAGATGACCCAGCGGCTGATCAAGCGGCTCTCTGCCCTTGGCCAGTACGAGGAAGCCGTCGCCGCACTCAATGCCGTGGCGTTGGAGCGGCCCGCTTCCCTGAAAAGCAAACAGGCCTCGGGCCAGCGAAGCGATGTAATGAGCGTGTGTGACGACCCCTTCATCCTCGCCCAGCAGCTCACGCACATTGAACTGGTAGGGACTCAGATGGTTAGATGGACTCTTATTTTTGTAGTAATGTGTCAGTAAAGTCTCCTGTGTAGCCATCTGTTGTGAGATTTGGAGGCAGATCTGGTGTTGTGTCTGTGATGAAACGTGTTCTCACTCTTATGTCTTGACATGTGGTTACTACTTTACAGGCCTTTTTTACTCTTCTCAATTTAGTGAATTTATTATTTTGGCAGGGCATAAGCACTATTTAAGAACACATTTATAGACTGCTGAAAAAGTTTCTTGTGTGTTACATTTTTGTTTTACTATTGTCATTACTATTGCTTTCCCATAAACCCCTTTGTGTGGTCTGTTTTGATTGTTTCGATGCATATAGAAAGTTTATTAATACGGTCCTTGTATATAAAGATACATAGCTTTCAGTCATGTGCTGTTTTTTCTTAATCTTTAAACCACCTTTTAGTGTCCCCATTTAAAAGTAATGACTTTATTAAAGTCATAGCCCTCCTTCCACACACATTTTTTCATCACCATTCCCAGTTTTGTTGTCATGTATTTTTTGTTCTGAAGCATCATCCTCACTGGTCTTCTACATCATCATCGTTTCTTAATTCATCTTGCTTTCTTCTTGATTATCTCCCTCTTATATATTAATGTTACCAGCGTTGTAAATGTTTTCTCTCCCTGTTCTCTGCCTTCAGGACAGACTGAGTTTTATCGGTCCTGAGGAGTTCATCCAGTCATTCGCCATGAAGGACCCTCTGGAGAACCATAAGGTACAATTGAGTTTGAAAGAACGCCATGTATTAACAACCAGAAAACGATTTTACTTCCCCTCCCCCCTTTTTCCTTCGAGTACTTCATGTTGCTGATTAAAAGGAGTTGCAAATGATTGAAGCAGTCGTTCTACTACATGGGTGATTTAACAAAATCTTTCAATTTAAAATGACTAATCCCAGTCAGAATTAGGCGACACATCTTGCTACATATAGCTTCTTCCGTGTAAAGACGGGTTTAAGAATACAGCAACATGACCTGTTTATAATTATCAACATCAAAGGGAAGATTGTAGTTATTTTAAAGTCATTCCTTATTATTTTGATTTCAAGCGTCCTCATTTCGGGTTTGCTTTGAGTGTAATTTGTGGTCTGCTTCAGTTCAAGTTAATTTGCTTTCGAAACCACATGAAAGATCACGTAGCAGCGCTTGGGATATTGTGCAGCTTTTTTTTATATTTGCTTTTTGAAAATGCATCAAACACAGTATGAAAGAGGCATTCTGTGTATGTCTAAGTGTATCTAAAGGGCTCTTTCCCTTATAAGTGGCCCTGTGAGTCAGCTGGAGGGTCGTTTTCAATCAGCGCTGCTGAGAACAAGCTTTCAGCCGCTGTTTGTGACCGCACTGCATCTCAGCCCTCACCGGTGCAGCACCACTTATATAAGACCCACTTTGTATGAAACAGCGGTTGAGTCAGCATAAGGGGTCCTGAAGTGTAGAGGGGAAGTTTGGAGTGGAGTGGGCTGCCGGTATTGTGTAAGCATTTAATAGAGCCATGAATCTCCGGGATTACATCATCATGGCCAAGTCAGGGTTATTTATACAGCGCTTTTATAATGTTTATTTATATAAAAATGCCTCCAGCAAACAGGTTCACCACTGAGTGTCTAACAGAAAACCAAAAGCAGATGTAAATGAGATGGAAATAACAGCACACGTCACAGAGTCACTCACACTGTGCAGGTCCACAGGTTGTGTGGGTGTGAAGGCTGTCAAGATCCATTTGCAAAGGAGATTACAGAGTAGCAGCAGTCTGTTTCCTTGTATTTCTTTTTATTGGATTTATTTATTGGATGCTCATGATCGATCATGCAGAATGTCATAGAACTAATATAATTTGTCATGTCAGGTTTTGTTATAGAAAGATTAGACGTAATAAGTTACAGTGTAATAATAAAACGAATATCTTGAAAAAGAAAAACGAAAAAAAAGACCCGCTTACTAGCTATTTTCTAGGCTTTCACCTGCACCTCATGGTCTTCCTCAGTTGAAGGAGTTAGCTCAGGATTTGTATTTGTTGTGTATTAATATTCAGTACTCTGAGCTGCTGTGGAAAACCATGAGATGCAGTGGCAAGACTAGTGAGGCTACATTGAGTAATTTTGTCCATTTATACACCGATGAATGTATATTGCACATTGCACCTGTCTCCTTCCCATAATCCCTTTTATATTGTGTTTTTTTTTTCTCAAACATTTGCCTCTAAAACAATGAAATACTGAAATGTATTATTAGACTTAGACTTACTTAGACTTGCATGTATGTTGACCATGTCATCTCCCTCCTTTTTGTTTGTTAGGGTTTCTTCCGGAAGCGTAAAACCAGTAACCTGGAGGCCTACATCAACTGGTTCAACAGACTGAGTTACCTAGTGGCCACTGAGATCTGTATGGTACGTTGTGCTTGTTTTAAACACACCAGAGCTCTTGTTGTTCATTAACAGATTGAGTTTGAAACACTGAAACACGCACCTCCAGTCAGCCATTAAGGGTTTGACATAAATGACGATGACAAAACATCAAACACTTCTCAAACTTCTCCTGCAGCATGAATAATATCTAGTTTCTACTTGTGTGCTCATTGTGCTCCGAAAACATGTGTTCATAAAAATAACTAAGGTCAAAATTGTACAATTGTGTTTAATTGTCAAGGAGTCTTTGATTCACTTCGTGTTGTGCTCTCTCATTACAGCCAGTGAAGAAGAAACACCGAGCGCGGATCATAGAGTTCTTCATTGATGTGGCTCAGGAGTGTTTCAACATCGGCAACTTCAACTCCCTCATGGCCATCATCAGTGAGTACTGGGCAGAAAAACACACAGAAACTCACTTTTAAAAGCAGCCTACACACTGTCTGGATGACAGGTGACTTCTGGGGAATTATCGGTGTCAGCACACATTAAAGAAAGTAGAAATCCGGCAGCATCTCGCACAGATCACATTCTGCTAAAGGTGCTTGATATTTATGCAATGAGTTAAATGGCTTGCACTTAGATCAGTAATTAACATTATTCTTGAGCTCACAAACCCCTTTGTCACAGCTTGTTTTTGAAGTAGGTGACAGTTAAATTGTCGATCCCACTATTCTTTATGCAGTGACCATTAATCAAATTCAATAAAGTCAACAAATATAGTGCCAGCTGGAGTTTATTCTAACGCTAAACAGTTCAAGGAAGTACAAACTGAGTTAGTGGAGTCTTGAAGCAGTCCAGCATGCTCATTTTCTCAGATTTGTAAGTACTCTGTGAACTCATAGTTCCTCTGTCTTTCAGCTGGGATGAACATGAGTCCTGTTGCCAGACTGAGGAAAACCTGGAGTAAAGTCAACACCGACAAGTTTGAAATCCTGGAGGTACGAAAACCTGCATACACCAGTGATTCCTGTATTGTGCACCAGTGGATTGAAGATTTGATGCTGTAATTTGCATGTACGTGTTTGATCAACGTCTGCTCTGTCTGACCTCACACAGCACCAGATGGATCCATCCAGTAACTTCAGCAACTACCGCACTGCGCTCCGTGGCGCCACCCAGAGGTCTGAGACTGCACACAGCAGCCAGGAGAAGGTGAGAGGGCACACAGGACTTTTCTAGAAAGCAAAACAAATGTCCCAAAATGTAAAATGTCAATATAAACTTGCTGTCATCTCTTTCCTCCAGATTGTGATTCCTTTCTTCAGTCTCCTCATTAAAGACATCTACTTCCTGAATGAAGGCTGTGCCAGCAGGCTTCCCAACGGACACATCAACTTTGAGGTCAGTCTGCAACTCAGGAGATTTGTTTTATAATGACACATTTAGTATTTGAATGAATCAGGAGGAGGTCTGTGCCTTTGAGCTGATTGTTAACGTTTTAAAAATCAACAAACAAAATGGTGTTTAAACTCAGTGAGGTTTGATCATTCACTGAGGTTATGTAACTGCCACACAATGATAGTTTAGGCTATGAGAAGAGGCTTTCACATGTGATGTAATGACTCCCCCTCATGGCTGAAAAGAGCATTACATTTTCTCTTACCAATTATGAGTGTTTTATTGAGATGTTCTTCTTGTTGGGCATTATCTTAATGGTTCTTGTGCATTTCTTAGATCTGCCTGATACCAGATTTTGTTAAATCACAAACTTTAAGTTAGTGTCAATAAAGTTTATTGTCATTGTGTCCGAACAGAAACTGTGGGAGCTTGCAAAGCAGGTTAGCGAGTTCCTGGTTTGGCGTCAGGTGATTTGTCCGTTTGACAGAGACCGCCGCATTCTCCAGTACCTCGTCACCACGCCTGTCTTCAGTGAAGACGGTCAGTATCTTCCCTCCGTTTCCCCAGTCGAGTATATATATATAGGTCACATGACTATCTCGTGTAGTCTGGCAGTTTGTGGGAGAACAAATTCTCACTCAGTCTTTGTCTTGTTTTATCCCTACAGAGCTGCATCTGGCCTCGTACGAGAGTGAAGGACCCGAGAACAACATGGAGAAAGATAGTCGTAGGTCTCTGAGGTGAGTGCACACACGAACAATCAAAGCTCAAAACTAACAAATAATAAATCAATTAAGACAATAACGCTGATTATCTATGTTGTGTTTCACAGATCTTCCCTTCTGCATCGAGAGAATCGGTCCTAAGAGAATGACGATCCTCTCTGCTCTACAGACTGTAAATGAACGAGGTGTTTTAAGGCTTCAGGTTCCTTTCCATATTATCTTATGGACACATTTTTACATTCCCATTTGTCTACATGACAACAAACTCAGCTGGGCCCATATTGTTACAGACAAACCGAAGAATATTTTACAATTTGTGGGCATTGAGCTTACAAGGAGCATAAATTATTCATTCATCAGATACTGTTATAGTCCTTGATGAGATACATCCAGTGCCAAAGGACCTCAATGCTGCAGTTATTGCCATAACCCTCTGCCTCGAAAGCTGGTCTGAAATCATTTTCTAACCTAACAATTCCCAAGACGAGCTCGGATTTCTGATTTGGATCATCATCTTCAGCTCTGTCCAAGGCACACACGTATGGATTTAGTTTCTATATATCCAGTGGACCTCAGTCATGGCAACAACAGCCTCATATTGTGGAAAGACTCATACTATGGAAGCACGATGGGGCTGGTTTTGTCTCTGAATGAGACGACATGGTCCCAGTTGGTTGTATTGCAACATAAGCACTGCTTCTCTGCGGATATCCTGGCTGAGTTCAGTCTTAAACCACAGAGAGAGGCGAGAGATCCACTCTGAAAGGAAGAGCTGATTATCATCGATTTGTATTATAAATAACAGGCTAACAACTGCTTTTAGAAGTGGTGTTGTCTGCACTGTTGTCTTGTTGAGTGCATGATTTGAGCATCTTGAGCAGCAAGAAGGCACCACATCCAGTCCATTTGCTCTCAGTTTGCACACAGCACCAATTTCCAGCTATTACAGTCATTCGAGCCTTTTATCTAATTTAGACCCATAATGCAAGTCAGTGCATCAGCTACATATTTCCAAACACATTTTAGACACACTGTTTTCATCAATCTTGCTGGTTGGTTGTAAACATTTTGTGATGTGTGCACTTTGACTGCGTTTTGGTGATGCTAAAATTTTGCGAGTGTCAGCTACATCACGCTAATCATGCAAGTTAAATCAAAAGCACTTCAGTGAGTTCTTGTGTATTGTATTATAGGATTTGGTGACTCCTATTTTAAGGCGTCTTTCTATACAGTATTACGTTGTATTTTGTATCAGAAGGTAAAAAAATAGCTTTTTTTTATGTACTTTTTCTGAAGTTTCACAGTGAGCTTGTTGCTGGTTGGCTAGCTCTGCGTTGGTAAGCTATTATGTTAATACAACACCAGTTTGTGTATGACAAAGAAGTGTTTTTGGTTCTGAATGAAGCATAAACTGATGTGTGTATGTGCAACTTAAATACAAACAGGAACCTCATCCTCCTCTTCATCTCATCTGTGATGGTGTGAGCATGATGTGATCCTTTAAAGTCTGCCTGTGAGTGAACGTGATGCTGTTTTTATGTTTTAAAAAAGTGTTTTCTTATGTATGCTTTTTTCAATCTTTTTTTGTGTATCATTTGTGTTACCGGTCAGGGTACTTGTACTGAAGGTCTTTGTGAAAAGAGAATTATATTTTTTCTTTCAAATAAACAGGATAACTGAATAATGTGTTCTTTGGTTTGATTTAACTGAAACGAGTCATTAAACAGGTTATAGATTTCTAAATGCAAAAACAACACCAGAATATAAGTAAAGACATTTATTTACAATACACATTGACTCCTAACGTTTATCTCTAAGTGTACATGTTAGTCATCTTTGGCAAAAAAAAATGGAATAAAGTGAAAAGTGTTGATCCTCATGTTTGAACATCAGTGACTCTGAACTCTGGTGAAGTTAATGCAGCGGCCCTGGAGACAAACAAAAGACAAATATAAAGTATAATACACATAAAACACATCAAACAAAGGGTGTTGTGTGTTTAATTTATCAGATTTAGCATAAATGCAAGCCTAAATGTCAGCCCTCAAAACAAGCAAAATGTGGCTTCTTCATATATGAAGGAGCCAGTTTCTTGCTCTAAAAGAATGCTGCCAAAATGCATCTATATTTAAACACTTGACCGCAGTGTGAAAACGCAGCACCCTTCAAAGCTGTGTCAAAGTCAGTATGAAATTGCAAACGACATTAAAGTTCAAAATGGTGGCTTTTAATTAGAATATTTCCATCAGCTCGCTCAATGTAACACTTCACAAAGACGGACAAAATGTGAAGATGAACCCTCAAAATCAGATCATCAAATACTGTAACAAGAAAACAATCTTAAATCACTGGAGGGCCTGCAGCCCGTTTGATGACGCACTGCACAAGTGTTGGACATTTGGACTGTTATTTATAACAACTGAGTTGATGCAGAAAGCTGTTATTTGTCTGTTGGGAAGATAATTAGAGGGGGAAAACTGGGCTGTATTATTTTCTGTTATTATCTAATCAAATCGCTGTAGAGTCAAGAGGGTGGATCCATTTTCTAATCAAATTCACTGGTGACACTGGCAAAAACGTAATTATTTTCTTGGTGACTGCAGGCAGTCCATCTGGAAGGAATGACAATCAAAGTATTCTAAACTGATAAGCAGCAGTGTTTTCTTTCGTACAGTTTAATTGTTATCGGAAGGAAATATTGCTGATGTTTCTTACCTTGTCCTGAGATGTCGGTCTCATGATTGCCACTCTGTCGTACTGTCTCCTCAGTAATGCCAGCAGTGCATCAAAACGCCCCTGAAAGTCAAGTCAAATCAGGTTAATTTAATAAAAAATTATAAAAAACTAAGAAAGAATGGTATACAACATGCACATCATAACATTTTGTTGTACGTGTGTGTGTGTGTGTGTGTGTGTGTGTGTGTGTGTGTGTGTGTGTGTGTGTCTGTCTGTCTGTCTGTCTGTCTGTCTGTCTGTGTCTGTCTGTCTGTCTGTCTGTCTGTCTGTCTGTCTGTCTGTCTGTCTGTGTGTGTGTGTGTGTGTGTGTGTGTGTGTGTGTGTGTGTAAGGGAACAGCAGTGATAAATCCAGAATCAGATCAATATTTGAGCCCTAAAGAGAAACATTATCTAATTCAAAGTGAACAGTAATGACTTGTGATTAACAAGACTATAATGTTACCTTGATGGGAGTGTACCATTTGGACTGTGACGGGGGGTTGAAGACCGGGGGAGGTCGCGGAGGGGGTCGGGGTATGATGGGCTCATCCACTTCCTCCAGCAGAGTGACCACAGCGTCTTTTGTTTTCTCGAGCCGTGACCCTTCCTCTGTGGAGCCCTTCTGCCCCCAGCGTACCTACAGACCAGACACAAGTCAGTGGCTGCATTTATATACCAGTGTGTGTGTTTGTCTACACTTGGTCATTATTACTTAACTTATTATAATATAGAAGTTTGCCTTGTTTATTTACTTCCATGCGTTTGATTCCTCCAGGACCTCTGCCGCCATAGTATGAAGCATCCACTGTAGGCCACCTGTGTTTGGGCAAAGGATCTTCTTCTGGATCCTTAAAAACAACAAAAGTAAATTGAAATAACTTTCCAGGAAGAAATAAAGTTAACTAGCCTTGCATATTACAACATTTCAAATGATAACAGAATCGTTATTGAATATTATATCCAAAATACAAAGATGATCTACATTTTAGACCAAGTCATTCAGTCCTATCTTATATTTAATATTTAATGCTGAAACCACAATAACTGAAAGCTGAAGCTCAACGGATGCAGTACCACTAACAGCCAGTAGATGCTGCCTCCATAAAGTCTGAAGCACCAGAGATCTATTCAAATATTATTAGCTTCTGGTGCCCGCTTAGCTCAGTGGGTAGAGCTGGCGGCCCATGTACCGAGGCTGAGTCCTTGCTGTTCGAATCCCCTGCGCGTCATCCCCTCTCTCTGCCCCCCCTCCTGTCTGTCTTCAGCTTTAACTATCATAAAGGCAATAAAAGCCCAAAAGAAATACTTAAAAAAAATATATATATCATTATAGTCTAAGTAGATAATTTCACTACTTCATTAGTGACTTATGTGGCGAAAAAAAAAAGGCTTTATTAAAAAGAGAGTAAGGCTTAAAGAGAGGTATGTTGTGTGTTTGCTTGACTGACAAAGCCACAGCTGCAGTTAGAATGACTTTGTTGCAGTGGTGAAACATTTTTCAAACAAGAACATGACTTCTTATTTATAACATTACACTGCAAACAAGGTAAATTTGTCTCCTAAGTTCTACAAATCAGAAAAAAGATTCCCTTCCTAAAACAAACAACTTAAATTGTTTTTAAAATTATCCAACCTCAGAAACCCTGCACATTTTACTAAAAAGCCATTAAATAATTATACAATGAGCAATACAACATGAAAAGGACTTTGTCTTCAACCTCACCTAAACCAGTACACAAACAAAGCAATTAAACCTGCCTGAACTTAACTATGAATGTAAAGATGTTTGACTTTTGGTTAATTGTGCTTCATATAAGGTTCTACACTGAGGCTGCTGTTCATGAGGCAACATGATCATACTTTAGATTTGTACTAAACATCAATAGAACATCTTCCTTTACACATAAGGAACAATTTGTGCTGAGTATCATGAAAATTACACAGAAGCCTGTTGAAAAATAGAAAACCCAGATGAATCTGATGAAGACGAAACACTCTGGTTTCACTATAAAGTTGTTTTTTATATTAGAAGTGTTGCTCGAGTTTTTTTCTCTTCTCTGTGCATCTCGGAAGTAGAAAAAAACTAGTCTCTACTCTGCTTCTCAAAAAATAGAGTCACTCCAGTCACTACCAAGATGGCAACTTGTGGTAAAATCAAAATTTCCAGCTTAAAATGTCCCTTTCAGAAACCTACTGGTGATGTAGGGGAAATATGTTTTCAACAGTCATGGTCTACTCACAATGACAGGGGGTGGAGGAGGTGGGCGAGAGGGGGGTGGGTCTCTGATCACCTGTAAGAAACAATATAAAAAAGTAATAAACAGTCACAACATTGTCTGTGGACAAAGTGTTACTGCAGGAACCCTGACCACACTGCAACACTAACACTTAAACTTGTGGGCTACTTCCATAAATAACAATAGTACTGAATTATGGTTCCACAAAGCCGGAATTGGAGATATACACGCACATACATAGACTTTAAACTCACCACAGTGCAGCAGAGAGGCCAGAACCACCAGAGTAAAGCCAGAGCCAGTAACAGCAACAGAGCCAACAGCAACCAGAGCACCCATGTCCCATCTGACTGCAATAAAAACACACCAATCAGAGACACACATTATATCATCCCCCTGGAGATGTGTTGTCATTTTACTGGCAACATTGCCACTGAGCCAGGTGCGTATCGTTACTCAGAGATACTTATTTTCCCTTTTTAAAGAGGTTAATTTTCCTCTTCAGTTATAACGCAACAGGTAAGATTTGACTGTTTTGCTATAAAAGGCAAACTGAAGAATTGCCTGTATTGATACTGTTATAATTATTGGCAACCTTTCATGATAGCATCATATCATGAGTTAATATTTATATGTATATTTGTACTATATGATTGGTACTCACACATGTTGTGGCATAGATGGTGATGGGAGCGGAGATGTAGGATTGTCCATTGTTCAGGCTAACTAGCACTTCGATTGATCTGCAGTTATTAAACAGAATCACAGAAAACAACATCAGAAGAAGAAAAAGAAGCAGCTACATGTGATGTTCAGTAAGCCTACAGTGTGGTGGTAAATACACAGAGGACCCGAGAGAGAGGGTGCGTGTGTGTGTTTATGACGGTGCACTAAGAAGTTTTACTGAAATCTAATCAGTGCAATTAAAGGACTGTTCATAGTCGCTGTCAGTTTAACCAAAAATCTTATAGATCACACTGGCTAGTAGTAATGAGCTCTAGTATTTCACACCGTTCTAAAAGCATTTATATATAATCTGTTCTAAATTTTGAGTGCAACTACTTACTTTAAATAAATCTTTATTGTCAAATAGTCCTGGTTATTCTGATAAAGAAAATCCATATACATCCATGTTTGAAGTTAATAAAGGACTTTGAGAGAGACATAACTAAAATCAGGCCTGAGACTGAAAGGATTATTATAGTTAAACAACCTAAACAGGAACAATGGTGTTTGACTTGTTCACCATTTTGTACTTTAACAGCTCATCAGCCGTTTGCGAGGCACTGTCTTACAGTTATGTTTCTGGGTAACCTTGTCAGTTTCCCTGTTGACTTTCCAACATTATTAGTTCCAAGAACATTGACTCACTGAGAAAGGAAGTCATTCATATTCTTATCGTTTTTAGGCCAGATTTCCTTCTTTGCCATTATAGTTTGCTGTTAAATATTGTTTTGTTTCACACATTTGAGGTTGGACTGGGATTGTTTCAGCTTTGTCCCTGAGAAATTATACAAACTATGCATGAGTGTTTCAGTGAGGAGGGAGTGTTACAGAGTGTGTGAGACATGATGGAAAGTGAGGGGTGACGTGGGACAGATAGAGAGAGAAAGCGAGAGCTGTTTGAAGTGAAGTTAAATCAGCTTTGGCTCGCTCTCTAAATGCCATAGAGATATTCTGGTCAGACTGGCTTCGGTTCATCCAACACTTTGAGCTGTTCACAGTTTTACTGTAAACATTGTTCTGGTTTCTCTCTCCGTTACACACACAACACGCAGTTTCTAATATCAACCTGCTGTATTTGCACAGGCCTAGTGTTATGATTAAAGAAAGGAAGAAATGTTGATAGATTTAAACTGACAAATTGAGGTATGATGACCTACAAATATCATTTTTTGTTGTTTTAATTCAACATGTCGGAATTCCTTTTCAGTTATTGCAACAGAGGAATTTTTAATCCATCAGCTTTGTGAAATGTTGCCACACCTTAGTGTTGTCCTGATGTGACACCATTGCGCACCATTGGGCTGATGATGCACCGTCTTTATAAGCCTGGGTCGAACTGGTGTTGTCAGAGAAATGCCAAGGTAGTTACGTTATAAAATTATGTCATACCGGACAGCTTTCCAGAACTGCATTTTTCTTTTTTAAAAATGCATGCCTTTTTCTATTTTTTCTACAGAAATGCTCATGAATCTGATATCTTTCTAAGAAACTAGAAAGAGAAAAACAAGGACAAAAAACAGACCACGTGACCATGCATAATGAGAGCTTCAGTCACTATTTTTAGTGTTCAAACACAAGTGTGGTCTCTCAGCTGTAGATTAAGAAAGTGTTGTGGCTACTGTTTATTTGTTTTCCTTTTTTTGACTTGCAGGCTTTTTTACAGTTTCACACAGAGTTCCGAACATTTTGTGTGCGACTTACTGTCCGACCTCGTGCAGAACAGGGGCTGGACACAGCAGATGGCCATCTCTAACTACTGTTGGCTTCTGGTCTGAGAAGAAACAGAGATAAGACATACTCTGAGACGCTGTCACTGCCTATAAGGACCAGATTTTCTTGCAAAAACATTACAATATTTTTTTATAATGTTGGTACATTATATAATTTTACAGTTATTATGTTACATTTTCTGTGTGTTCATAATGCATTGGTGGATGTAACAAACAAAATACATACTTATTTAACTTTTGGATGTCTTGCTACCTTTAATTGAAATAGGAAATTATATGTTATATATATATATATATATATATATATATATATATATATATATATAAACAGCACAGTCGGGCTCAAATGAAGCAACAGAGCAAAAGCAAAGGAAAGGAATTCTAGCACATAAAAATAGGCCAGCTAGATGAAGAAACCAAAGAAAAAATGCAGTTTTGTGTTACCCCTTCATGTCCCCTCAGTGACAGGCCCCCTCCCATCCATCTGTCAATAGACTAATGAGACAGAGATAGACCGATCTTCTCCCTCCCTCTGCTCAGTCTCATAATGTCTCCTCTGTTCTCTGGCTGAAGTCAATAAAATGCAGCCACTGTTTGTTTCTGGATGTCATGACTCTGACTTTCCACTGCAGCGAAGTTCTGCACATTCTATCACATATCACTTCATAGATGATGTTATCCCAAAGTGCACTGCAGTCCCATCTGGACACACGTTTTATCATCTCTGGTGAGCAAACTTGTAACATTGGTTTCCTCCACTTGGGTGCATCGTTAGCATTAGCCTCCAAAAGCCGGTTTTACACCAGCTGACCTCTGAGGCACAACTGTGTAAGTCATGAGTGGGTGTCATGTACTGACCGTATGTCTTTTGATTGACAGTGAGGGTGCAGAGTATGTTGTCTGCCCTCCTGGATCCACTGAAGCCACTGCCCCTCAGCACCACATTGAAAGACTCTGGGCAACATCAGACACAATACACAACTATGACATTGTACTCAGGCTGTCTCAGTCATTAAACAGCAACATGGTTATTGAACAGCAGTAATGTAAATGCTAACATGCTAATGTTTAGCAGGTATAATGTTGAACATGTTCAACATTTTAGTTTAACTTGCTGGCATGCTGCATATTTACTCATTAGTATTAACCGCATTGTATTGAGGTTGGAGCTGAGGCTGATGGGAATTTCATCAGTTTTGCAGATATTTGGTCATAAACCAAATTATTGGACAAGTTCAAATTTTCATCTGATGGTGGCTCTATATGGAAAGTGAAGAGATCACCAGAGTTATTACCAATTATCCCGATGCAGACATAAATGTGCACACCAAATTGCATAACAATCCATCTAATAGTTGTTGAGACATTTCACTTAAAGGTAACATTTAGGAGGATCCATTAGCAGAAATGGCATCTGTAGTTTCTCCTACACGCTTTGAAGGCCGAGCTGTATTTAAATGGTTTGAACTTCATTGCTAGATGCCACTGAATCCTGCACACTAGTCCTTTAAAAGCACAAATATCCACCTTACTGCAGCACTCAAAAAGTCAGAGGATCACCAAAGTCATTATATCATTACAAAATTTAATCCGCTAGGGATTAGGAATGTCTGTACAAGATTTCATGGCAATCCAATCTTTGTTTTTCAACAGACCATTTCCATAGCTAGGGTGGCAAAAAATGCATTCTACATTATATATTGTTTCTGCATTCTTATATTCAAACATTACAGAACCAAACAAATTCTTCCCCACTGACTTACCATTCACACAAACACTCGACGGCTCTATTGTGAATACGTCTATGCATGACTGCTTCAGGATCTGTTTGGAGATACACGATAACAGCTCAGGCTGTAAGTCTATATTCATGTGGCAATGACTGTTTATATGCATTGTTAAGTGTGACGTGACCTCACCGAGTTGACGATGTCTTTGAGGGCATGAAACCCAGACAGCACTGGAAAGACTTGTTCTGTGCCGTCTGCTATTTCTGCAAGCTGTGACAGAAATGAAAACTGTTCACCTGCTTTTAAAGTCATTAACATCTCATATATGAAGAACTTTACATATCAGTGCTCATTTCTTGCCACCTCTCTGTGAGGTCTGTTTGTCTCAGTTCAGTGCTTCAGCAGCGCTTAGGGAGGAAAAGTCAGTTTATAGGAGATGAAAGCTCTGGACAGCAGGCTGAAGCTTTCATCTCCTGCTTTAATGATAGCAGAACAGGAAGCTCGTCCGGCATTATCTAATTAGAGAGGGTGATGTAATTACTTCCTCCTCAGACCACAAAATACACTTGGTCAGTAACCCGTGCAGACAAACAGTAGAACCCATTGACTTCCCTGGTCTTGAATTATACAATTTTGAAGCCATTCAGATATGATTATTAATACTTATTATGCATATCAATACTGTCACTAAGATGTGATTTTGTGGCTGCTGCAAAGGTAAACAACACTAATGCATGAATGATTGATGGCGAGGGATTATGGATGCCACTTTAAATGAAATATTGTAATATTATATTTCTTAACAAATGTAATCACAGTTATTTCTTTGCAATGTAAATGTTATTAAGGATAACGTATGACCTGATGTTGACTGTAGAAAAGATCACATATCACAGTATTGCAATAAATACCGCAGACCAGTGTTTCCTATGGGATAATGCCTGTTTTTCAGTTCAGCAGTAAACAGAGGGCATTTGGGTTCATGGAAAACAACTTTGAGGACACATTAGGTTTAATCCTTACTAAGTTCTGAGTTTTCATATCTAACACACTGCTCCCTTTCACTAACCAGATACCTGTAGAAGAAGAACTCAAGGTCTTTTCCAGGAAATGGTAACTCAAAATGAAATGTAGCCTATTCCATATTTTTACATAAACCAACTGCAAACCATAAAGTATCAATCCCTGCCAGCTGCTTGCTGTTCTGTCCTTGGGAGGTTCCTGTTGAACTCAAACTGACTAACCCATGAGGTCAAGGTGGAATAATAAATCCCGGGCCAAAAACAAAAGCTTATTGATGTTCTGAGCACAACCTAACGCACACACACACACACCACAAACACACACACACACACACACACACACACACACACACACACACACACACACACACACACACACACACACACACACACACACACACACACACACACACAGAAAGACAAAAAAAACATCAGTGTTCAAACAACCAGCAGTATCAGTTACAGGAAAACAGTAACAGAGAAAGTGTTCTTTCTTACAGCTCTGCATGGCAGTCAGACGGCAAACAAGCAAAGGTAAAGATAAACAACAAAAATGAAGTCCTCCTACCTGTTTGTGGTCAAAGTCCATGACCCCGACACAGTATACTCTGGCTCCAAACCCTCTGGCTTTATCAGCCTGGGAAACACAACACAAAGAGTGAGCTCCTGAGTCAGGTTCTGCTTCTACAGACATACAGTAGAAGCAGATTATTAAAAAATTCATGTCAAATCCTGTATACTTGACATTATAGCCTACAAAACATACTATAACGTTTTAGAGTGATTCATGTTTTTACTTCCAAGCAGCAATTGGCTCAATTCATGCAACATGATGCAAAAATCAACATGCAGACCCTTGACACTGTTATAAATGAAACTTTATTTGTCCCCAGAGGGCAACTGGTTATGCAGCAATGAAACACAAGCTAAAAAAAACACATGAATCACATGAACACACCATGAAAATACAAAAAAGGAGCAAGTTCACCAACAACAAACCCACAAACCAAATAAAAAGTGGAAATAAAAGTTACTGTGGCAGAATAGCTAAGCATATTCCATAAATCTATTCAAGTTCTTTTTATACTATACTTGAATATAAACCACCTGAAAAGAGTCATAAAAAAACTTCTGGAGTGCTTATGGGAAAAAGATGATCATGATCTTCTAACATTATGTACAAACACAGTATAATTTTCACTCTTCATCCTATTTATCATCATTATTTCAATTACAGTATTACTACGGCTTATTATCCTCAGTAAAGTGTGTGTGTGTGTGTGTGTGTGTGTGTGTGTGTGTGTGTGTGTGTGTGTGTGTGTGTGATACCTCCTGTACGCTCAGTTCATATGGGTAAACCTCCAGCTTGCCATCAGTCAGAACAATGATGATGCTGGATGACGGTGAGGTTTGTGTCTTCATCTGCTGTGACACCTGAAGATTGAAAGTTCAAGACACGGATTCAGAAAATGAAACTCAGTGTGAAATCTCACTGCAGCTCACACACATACTGTGCAGGCAATACTTTTTGTTATGTTTTGGATTGATGAAACATTTTCTCTTGCTAGACCCCATTGGCACTGCTTGAAATTACTGACAACATATCATCTACTTTACTTGTTAATCTACAAGAATATACCAGTGTGCAGTATGACAGAATGGACCTGAATATACAAGGCACCTAACCCACAGTTCAGTTCAATTTAGTAAGTTGATTGTGTTTTGACAGTTCTGTTGAAAAAGTGACCATCTGTGTAAGGAATATGTTTCCTGGTAGGCAACTATGAGCGTACTTACCGCCATCATGCCTTCATGCATGTACGTTTCACCAGCAGGTTTAATTTGGCTCAGCTTCTTCAAACCCTCGTCTATCTCAGATCTGCGCATCCGGATCCCCAAACATAGTCAACACAGTGTAAATAAAGACCGATAAGAGCTTTGTTCGATCTGGTTATCAGTGTTACAATGTTGTTTGTCAGTGAGAAGCAGAAGGAGGGGGGAGGATGGGTTAGGGAATGAAGCGGAGAAGGAGAGAAAGAGAGGGAAGTTTTAAAAACTGCGGACTGTACCTGTCTCCAGTTATTGGCAGTATTACAACTGCTTTGGCTGAAAAGACTATGTATGAAACCCTCATCCTGGGACTGAAACACACACACACACACACACACACACACACACACACACACACACACACACACACACACACACACAGGAAGCTTGTGAATCTATAAATCTACATCAGAAACTGGGTTTTGTACACAGAAATACACAACATGACGACACTAACATATAAAATAACATTTATACCCTTATAATGATGTGTATTGTAATGTAATGCCAAATATATAACATGACATGTTGCATGACATGACAAAAATAAACAAACCATCAAATTACGTAATTCATCAAGCAGTTTCATTACATCTACATCTTCTTCTACTGAATCTGACACTAGACAACATGGGACAGTGCCTTGCTCAGCCACTGATCTCCACATACAGTACTAGTACCCCTAACCCCCATCAGTGTTACTTCCTTCCTATACCCTTCAGGCTGAGAAGGGGGGGCAGGACTGTTTGTTGTGGTCAGCACCACCTTTAACATCTGGCTGAATGTTTTACTCTCATATTTAGCAACCCGCTATTAAACCTAAAGATATCTCACACAAACCCTCAGCACCGTTACCCAGAGGGAATTTGGAGCAGTTGGTGGCCTTGCATGATGTCTGCTCCCCAAAATAGACATGGCCTACTTTTCTACTCACTACCACTCTTTATACTGTAATCTAAAGACCTATAATGACTCCTCGCTCTTTAAATAGTCTTTTTTTATTAGTTTAATTTCTGCTGTATGACTCTAAACTAAATTTAACATGCCTGGTTGTATGTAAAGGCCTTTTTTTTTTTTTTTTTTGCTGTTTTGCACTGTGCTATATAAAGTTTTGTATAAGGTTATTGGGCTATTTATGGTATAAATACCCCTGAAATCTGAGGAGAAGACGAGAGAAGAAGAGAATGGAGGAATTACTGTAACAAAATTTTAAAAGCACACAACAGCCACTTTACTTACCTGACAAACCTGTTGGTGAGCTGCTCCACAAATCCATAGATCTCATCCCAGTGTCCCGACACACTGCCTGACCTTCAGAAAAAGACAGATAAATCACATTCATCCATTACATGAATATAACCCAACACAAGATTTAACACCAAGCATTCACAAGCCTGAAGATAACACAGGTGTATAAAAACAGGGGAAGGTCCATTAATCACCAAACAAAGCGTATATTTTCTGAATAAACTGCATAAATTAAGTTTTGATGCTACACTGCCTGCGGTTCACCGAGTAGAAGAACTGCAATTAAAAATAAATGCAAACAGAAATAGTGCAAGTGGTAGAAATAAGGAGATTTATTTATTTTGAAATCCCATCAGGTTTCCCAAAAGGTTTCTTGTTCAGGTCCATAGGAAGAGAAAGAACATTACATACAAGGACAAAATAAACAGATTATTTGGTTATTGTTGGAAAGTCTGTTTAAGACTTAACTTTGCTCATACTTAACAACAACATAACCCACTGAGAGGAACTCTAGAAGCTACAAAAGTGAACTTTCTCCAAGTATACACTCCAAACACTGATGGTCAGAACAGAAAAGATGGAAATAAACTCCAAACTGAAGTAGAGCAGCTGAGGCACTTGGAAAACTAAACACAGCCATACATGGAGAGGACTGACTCTACACTGAGGTAACAAATATTAAATTAAAACTGGTATGTCTCTGTTGGCTCCTTTATTCCCTCAAGCAAACACACGCATGCAGACACAAAACAATCTGTACTCACTCACCTGTCTAACACAAAATAAATATCAAACGCCCCATCACAGGAAGCGTCGTCGCCGCCGTGCAACGATGAATTCACACAAACACTGAGAACAAGTAGGACTTTGCAACATATCCATATCCGATCCATAATCCATGCGTTTCATATCAGCAGTCAGCAGGATGCAGCTGTACAGTATGAGTCCTTCATCATCTTCACAGCATCGTCCCCCAGTGCTGGTTCACATGTTGAGTCGGTTCTGAGTGGAAGTACAGTACATGTGTGGGTCCTCTGTCAGCGGGCTGATAATGAAATAAACGGGGCAGGGCACACAGCCGCAACACACAACTTCCCTCCTTCACATTAAACTGGAGACAGCGACGTACTACTGTAATACATTATTGTTTCTATGCAGCTGGTTTATATAGCTTTGATATGTTTATATGTTCATTAATATATGTATTAATTGGTTTAACAGGGACACTGGACATTAGTGCTGTAAATACGCGAGAATTAGCCGAAAATGGTTGGTTGGATGGATGTTTTTTTATCTATAGTGCCTGGACAGATGTTACTTAAGTCCCCCTAAATATATCAAATTAAAGTTAAAACAGTAGTTGTTACTTCACAAGCATATAGAGGAATAATAAAAAGATAATAATTCTAGTAATCTTACATGTTATAATGTCTGGTGAATTGCATATACTTTGTTTTTTTTTTATCACTGGAGACTGTAAAGTCTACATTTTTAGGCACATATGTAGATAGAAGTGAAGTTAATAAACTACAAAGACAATATGAAGTAAATATGAATTCCTATTATGCAAAAATAAACCTCATTTCATGTAATGTATGTTAGACTGGTGAGTCCAAAAAATAAGGAATGCGTGATAACATTGTATTTTATCTAATTTTACTCTGTATCTGATTCCATTATGCTTTTATTCTGAAGGCAAAACCACATATCTTCCTACATTGTAGACGTCATCTTGGACTTGACTTCTGGTTGGCATAGCAGTTGGCATAAATAGAGACTGAGAGAGATAACAGCAGTACAAAGAATGACAGACTGATGGTTCTGATTACTGAATATAACTAACCCAGATAATCCTGTATTTTAAAACAGAAAGGAAGGAAGCCATTCTGATCCTCCGATAAAACAATGAATCCCTTTTTATTAGAATCTGAATAAAGTGGGTGTCGTGTTTCCAGATTGAATAAACATTTGCCCCTCAGTCAATGAACAAATTCAGCAGTGGCTTATTACAGGACATTTCTCTCTGACTCATAAATCACTCTCCCACTCTTTCTTTTGAGAATAAACAAGTGCATCATGTATCCTGTAAATCTTTTACAGATGGAAAGCAGTATTGAATAGGCTAACACAACGCCCATGGTATGTCAGAGTGATTTGCTGCCTTGCATGAGTCTGCCCCATAATGTGACTTCCCAAAGGCTGAAATCAAACGTACTCCTTCGTCTCAAGAGAAAAGACTGGCCTTATTGATTCCTCCAAGTATTCTCTTCAACATCAGAACATGACCATGTCCCAAACCCCTTTACATTTACGTCATCAATTTAAGATGTCCAACACATACCAGGAGTCCTTTTGTGGTATGTAATTATATATTGCATTGTGTTTGCAGGGATGCAACTGCACTGCCTGGTGCTTCCCACAAGGTATAATTTCAGCATTGAAGGAAGATGAAGTCATGACAGTAAACACAACTCAAATAATAACATACCAAAGTCATTGTGTCAGCAAATGGTCTGTTTAATCTTGTGCTAGCTATGGATCCCCCTTGGATGTTTCATGGATGGCTGTTATGGATTATGTGATCAGTGCTTTATTTTGAGGTGCAGTTGGACTACAAGTCAGAGGCTCTTGTTGCATGTCCCCTCCAATTGTTGCTCTTTCTTCTCTTTTCTAATAAAGACAAAAAGTAATGTTCAGGACAGCCATAGAGTGAAAAAAGAGGAAAGAGAGGTGTAATCGCAGTTTCAAGTACGGCCTGACTGACTCATATGATGCAAAGGTACTTAGAAGCCTGCTGTCTTAAACAAATAACTTTATCAAAGAATATTTAAGTTAAATATTCTTTAACACGCTAAATAATTTAAAATATACATTGTAAAACATTTCTAATTGACATTGCTGAGAGCTGCTTCTTCTCTTTCACTCTGACAAGCATTTTGTTTTGCTTTATAGACTGAAAAAAGTTTTCATATCGGCCCATATCTATACCATATAAGGCGATGCTGATACATGCCAACAAGTGTGCTATAGCAGACATATAAATCTGTCAGGTTCTAGTTTTAAAGAAGATACTCTCTGTGCACAAAATGTCTAAAATGTAGATGGAAGATGCAGTCTAATATAGTTAGTTTAGCCTTTTCAATCCAACTGTCTTGCTGATGATCTCAGAAAAACTTATAGAAGAATATATGTATAACAAGACACCAAGAATAAAATAGTTTTTCCAACCTTAAAGATACTTAAAGTGGGAATTAAAGGAAACTGATGATGCCTGTCAGAGATGGATACCTGTGTGCCAGAAGGAGTCTTGTTTCTTCCAGGCTAAAAGAACTGATGGCAGAAAGGAGTGATGCTCTGCTTTAACCTCAACTGGAAAACAAAACAGAGAAAGTGTTACTTCATACCACTGCTGATGGAGTATGAACATTGTGTGACCACAGTCAATCCCTCCATCAAAGGCAAAACCGATTACATTTTTTAGGGTGTGGTCACAAGTCTGTACTATTAAATGAAAATCACTTATACTGTCAGTAAACAATCTGGATTGTAAACAAACTGTCGCCAAAACCAGGGGCGTGAATTTAATCTCAGCTTTGGTGGAGATCTACTGGGAACTGCTCAAACCACCACAATAAAAGACTCTTCAGAACATGCAATGCTTATATAGAGAGGGGAGATTCAAATGCAAGCCTCTGAGAAATATTCATTTAATGCAGGATTCAAGAGATATTTTGCAGGAAAACTCAGGACATTATTTTTTCTAATGAAATAAATAACTACAGGTGCAGTCCTGCACACCCACCAGTAGGTGTCAGTAACGTACAGTGTTGTTGTTTACTATCAACATAAGAAAGAAGAAGATATTCTTTGATGTTATCCAGTAGCTGAGGATATTATTCTTTTTTTTTTGCCAAAATGTGATTTTTTTTTTAACTCAATGTTAGCTTGATAGCCATCTGGATATGGCTGAATTGCCTGGGCGAGGACTGCGACTAATGGTGAGCTTTGTAACCCTGTTTTCGATCAGTTTAGTTAGTCAGCTGATGTCAAGGTTAGCTAGCATTGACGTTAGCCTGCTAACATGGCTGGACAATAACAAAAACGGTCTGACGTACAGTTGTCATTGTGTCGGTTTTGCTGTTTAAAACAGCTTTATCTCACAATGAAAGAGAGAAGAAAGTCAACATAGTGCGGTTGTGGTACAGTGTGGTAAAACAAAAGCTTTTTTAGGTAGCTTGAGCTAGCTTAGCTGTAAACACACATTGACTGACCTTTTTAAGTAAGTTAGGGTTAACCAACACTGGCACAAAAACTACATGTTAGCACTGCTTTCCTGCCCTTGAATCTCTATCCTGTCACTAGTTTTACCAATATAAATGAATGGATCTAGTCGTGCCTCTTACTAACCGGTGTTTTCCGTCATCCTCCTCCTCAGACTCAGTCTTAACCTTCCCAGCTTGCCTTGTGCCAGAGGAGCTGAGGTCAAGATGCTGCTGAAGATGCCCCAGAAGCTGCTGAAGACTGCCCACTACATAGAGCTGGGCAGCTACCAGCACTGGCCGGTGCTGATACCCCAGAGGATAAGACTGTACACCTTCGAACAAATCCCCCTCTTTCTCAAAGAAAACCCCTACATCACAGACGGCTACAGGGCTCACCTGCCATCCAAACTCTGCCTGAGGAGGTGATGTTGGAAATAGTGACTTTCAGACTTCAGACTGCAGTCATGTTTCTTTTTCTACTTATTTGGCTCAATTTCTGGCTTAATATGGGTCATGCATGTTCTAGTATATGAGCATTATACTGGTGCATGTCAGTTGGTATACAGACTGAACTTTTTGACTTATGTAACTTTGTTTTGTTTATTTTCTGTTGCAGTATTTTTATGTTGTCCAATGAGACGGTGAATATCTGGAGTCACCTTCTGGGTTTCCTGCTCTTCTTCTCTCTGGGGGTCAACGACCTCTCCTCAGTACTGCCAGCCTCCGGAGCTAACAGAGAGGACTACGTCATTTACGCCATAGGACTGTTCTGCTTCCAGGTAAGACTTATTTGGCGTGGTGGGGACTGAGAGAGGGAAAAAAGCCGGGGTTTTGTCTCTTGGGGAAATTAATATCAAAGAAAGTCTTGTAACCTTGTTGTTCACTCTGTTGTTTAGACATGAAACAAAATTTAAAGCTGTTTAACTAGAGTGATCCTACAATTTAGGGTTTTGACAGTAACAGTGTTCAGTGTGCATGATATACAAATGTATGTGTGTGTACTGTATATAAGTAATAATGTGCGCAGCATCCTGTGTTACAGTATATTTGAATGACATAACAAACTGATTCGTGTAGGTTCACATTTCCTGCCACAGGTGCAATCAGATTACCTCTACCTACCCAGGTGTGTAAGCTGTGTATAGCTGTAACTATTGTAAAGGTGGGGCACAGTGTACTGTATTATAAAGAGCTACAATAGTAATGGTACTATAGTCCAGTGTCCCTATTGGCAGCTGATGCTGTGTTAGCCGTGCACGGTTGGGTTGTAGGTTTTGTAGCAACTGATAATGCGATTGGAAGTCTGTATGTTTCCCATTTACAGTTAGTATATAGCGTAGTATATGTTACCCTCCCATCATCCTCCTAAAATCCCTTCCTTGGCCCATAAAAGTGCATGTTGTGAATATGTGGATTGTCCTTAAAATGCATTATTTCTATTATGGTCGCAAAGAGATTTTGTTGACTTTTTTTTTTAATTGAACAAAATTTACTCAATGCAAACAAAAATGACATTCATAAAAACAAACAATAATCACCATTGAGAATCACAATATCTCCCAGATTGTAAAAGTACTGTGTGTTTTCTTCCCAGGTGTGCATGTTGTGCTCTGTGGGGTATCACCTGTTCTCGTGCCATCGCTCAGAGAAGACCTGCCGTCGCTGGCTGGCGTTGGACTACGCAGGCATCTCTGTTGGCATCTTGGGCTGTTATGTACCTGGAATCTTTTACGCTTTCTACTGTAATGCTGTAAGTGCGAACAGTCAAGTTGGTGATTTGTATCACAGTGCTGCCGATAGGATGAAGCTGTAAAAATGATCTGATCCCTAATTTCCACCATTCTTTTTCCTTTTTCTGAAGATATAGTTATAAGGAAACAAATGCTTCATCTCCGATTAGACTAATCGGTCACTCTCCCGTCTTGCAGTTTTGGCGACAGGTCTACCTGCTGACAGTGCTGTCCCTGATACTGGCCGTCTTCTGTGCTCAGGTCCACCCTCGTTACCTCAGCAACGACTGGCGACGGATACGGGTGACGATATTCTGCTGTGTGGCTGGCATAAGTGTGATACCTGCGTGCCACTGGGTCTGGCTCACTGGAGGATTCACCTCTGATGTTGTACAGGTAAGAAAATACTGTCACAGTAAAACAACAAGCAAAGTGAGAGCACACTTCCATTTTTCACACCACCGTATACTCTATGCAGTTTTATTAAACTTACTACAAGTAGTTTTTAACTGGTCATGAAAGAGTCATTAATGCTTCCTATATATAAACCTATAAGCATGAGAGACCATCAGTGAGAGGATTGGCTATTTCTATGTAGTTATTCATAATGCATGCCACCGGGTCTGATTCCCATTGAAATCAATGAAACGAGGCAATGGAAACACTACTGCTTTTGTCCACAGGGCCCTGCCAAGTCTTCCTCAAGTGCTCACGATTCACTCATGAATGAAAGCGCTTACTTTCCCTGACTTTATAATGTTTATTCATATTGTACAAACTTCTTGTCGTATGTGCAGCTGTTCCTGCCTCGTGTGTTAGTGATGTACCTGATAGCTGGGTCTGCCTTCCTGTTCTACGTCACCAAGATCCCTGAACGCTATTTCCCTGGTGAGTCTTTCTCTTCTATCTCTGTGTGTGTACAGGCCTGAAGGGGGGAGCTGTAGTGTTAAATACATTGAGACTTTTGGTGAGCAGAACAAGAAAGAATAAGTAATTGAAGTTACTGACTGACTATTAGTAAATAAAGTGAAAATGTAAGTGTCAGTTGTATTTTGTGGTGTCAGCATTAGTGTTTAATGTTCATACCGTACCTCAGAAATAACAAAAGATTCTATAATTTGATTAAGAAACTATATTTTGTCTTTTTCAGTCATAATTTGTCTTCAATATCAAAATTGTGAAGAAAAAAAATCATATTGTAAACCCAGTATCATTTCATCCTTACACAGTAGTGCAAGAAGACTAGAAATGATAAAACACACAGTGGTCAGTATACTAACTTATACTTAAAGATACTTAAAGTATAATTAAGTTAAGTAATTAAGTAGGATAGTCATTTTTAGGTCTTGTCCCTCACATTAAAATGTTTTATTTGTTTTATTTAATATATTATTTAAAAAGTTTCTCTGTAACTTCTGTATCTTTCCATCATATCAAGTGATCTTCATCCGCAGATAGAGTCTCATTGTAGTTTGAGCATTAACAAAACCAACATGTTCTGAATTTAGAGCATTTTCTTCCTCTCCTCTCCCAGGCCAGCTGAACTACCTGGGTGCCAGCCACCAGGTGTGGCACATACTGGTGGTGGTGATGTTTTACTGGTGGCATCAGACAGCTGTACACATCATGCACTTCAGGCACAGCCAGGCCTGCCCGACCCGGACCAGCAGCGGCTAAGTTTAACTGATCGAATTAAGTTATGGGCCGGCAATCGGTTGCAGGCCAATAATTGTCAGTAGATATCAGTTAAACTTCTCTCTCTCTCTCTCTCTCTCTCTCTCTCTCAAAGACTTCTTACCAGTTTGCTGTTGGTTAGAAGTTGCTACCTAAAGGGTTTTTCAACCACTAACTACGAGCAGCTCCTGACTATAAGCTGCTAAGGTGTAAAAGCAGTCTGACGATAGCTATTAGCTTACACTGAACCATCAGTTACTGGCCAGCTGTTAAAGGCCAGTATCCTCTATTAGTCTGCTGTCTCCAACAGTAGATATCAGCTGAGAGGATTTAGGAGCTACTGTAAATCTTAAATTCTCTTAGCAAAAGCTGAATTGATGTCAAAAGTGATGTAGCTACACCAAACTGATCCCCCCTAATGGACAGAAAATAATCCTTGACGTTGCACCATAACCATTAAGATCAATGCATGAAGCAGGAATTTAAATTTATTTGTAGAAACAGACAAGGGTTTGGTGTTTTCATTGGGGATCATGTTATCTCATGGTTGATTGTGATTCCTTTTGTACAGAAGTATTGAAAAACTATAAGATTTTCTTCCAACATAATAGCCTGTGTGAACAATGACTTCTTTTGTGTCAAGTTTTGTTTTATCTGTCAGTTCCTACAAGATTAGATTTTATGCACAGAACTGGAAATTCAGCATTCGGACACTGTGAATTGTCTGCCTCTGGGAGAAGCAATGTCTCAACTCCTCCACAGTTTGAAGCTTTTTAACAAATAGTTAAAGGTCAACCAACGATCAATCTGCAATATCTAAGCTGTAGAACTGAAAAAGATCTTGCGTGAACCTTATTCCCTACAGTGCATTAATTATTTTATCTTTAATGTGTACTGTGTTGTCTTTGGAACAAATAAGGTGGTGGTTTTGAAAAAGAAACAAACACTTTAACTCTTTACAGTGGCCAGTATATATAACATCAACATGTTTAACCATCATTCCCTTCACTATAATTATCATTATTAAAGTACTGGGTGTAAACTTTTCAGTAAACAGGATGTGTCATCACTAGGGGTGTGAGAAGCCAGAGTAATTATAACGACTATGGCTAAATCTATTTATTATCTCCACCCCACATCAGTCTCCTCCTGTTTGTTTATTAGTTCATTTGCCCATCACAGCTTTCACTTATAGGAACGAAATGTAAACACACAGAAACGTGAAATATAATATAAGCAGAATACAATTCTGGCCAGTAAATAAGTATTAAATTGACTCCTTTTCAATGATGTCATACCAACAATGCTGTGTGTGTGTGTGTATATATATATATTTAGTTATATTTCTAAATCATAATTTTTCACTTGCTTTTTCTGGTATGCACTTAGTTTTGATTTTATGTGGTCTGAAATTAATGCCACACAGCACAATGGGGGTAAACAGAATTTAGTTTAGGGAGCTCACAGCACTGAAAACTTACATATTAAAAAACTATTCTAAAATTTTTTAAGGACTATGGGGTGACTTTGTTAGAAAGTGGTTTGAAAACCCAGGCAAAAAACTGAAACCATCTGCATTGCTGGACATCACAATGTGAAAAATGTTTGTATATAATTTGGATGAATTCACCCTTTAACAACAGCTTGAGTTGTGTGACAAAGAAATTACATTTCAGAGAGCGGTAGCACTTAAACTCTCACTGACTGTAACAGACGCAGGGGTTGCCAGATGTCACCTCTTCTATCATAAAGTCTGTCATTGTCTGCTTGATGCTGTTGTTTAAATAAGGCCAGTGTAAAGTGTTACAGGTACAGGTTTTTTTTTCTGCAGTACACTTTGGGACAGTTACATATTTTCATGTTTAGTATTATATTTTGTGTTTGTTTTTACACAATATCATTCATGTTTGGACTTAATTTGCCTTATTATCTTTGAGTATTTCTACTGTATACACACTTACTGTTACAATCTGTTTTTGGTCAAGAAGTGAACATAAATCAGAAAAAAAATCATCTCCACTCCGATATAATCTTTGCTGTTACACCACAAAGCCAGTATGGGTTTTTTGTCTTTTTTTTAATGTAATAACAATTCATTTTAGTTGAGAGCACTGTACAGGTGCTGCAAGAAATGCCTTTATTTTGCCTATGTTTTAATTTTTGAATATATATTATAAACTGCTTGATTTTTTTTTAAATGATCGCATGATTGTTTTATCCTGTGTTGGGTTTTCCTTGAATATCATTTTTATGATAAAACAGTGGCACTGATTTACGAGATGTATAATATTTATTTCAGTGCCTATGTGAAAATATATTTTTAAACATTTTGAATGAATAAAGAATGCTGGAGAATAAATTGTTTCTGAGTCTTTGTTGGATAGCTCAGATTTACTCCTCATATAGTTTGTAGCTGATGTTTTTTGAACAGCTGGAAACCGATGACATCTGATAATTGTGTTCAGAGCAGATTGAGACAGAAGGAAGGTCTGACTTCTGGAGGGAAAATTGATGGTTTTACTTAATCCATTATAATCACATTGTCATTGGTGAGGAAGCATCATGTGCTTATTTCTGCTGTTCACATTACTGAACAATAGAGGGCAGCATCGCTACAAAAGTTGCCTGTTCAGTGAAAATGTGGATGAACATTTTTTTCATTTTTTCCATATCCCACTAAGCGCTTGTGTGTCTCCACAAAATAGAGGTGAATTTTGTCAAGTATGTCAGAGAGGAGGGTTTTCTTTTCACCCAGTCTCAAGTGATTCACTTCAGTTAGTAATTTGACATGGTTGTTAAACAATGGGACTTATGGTCAAATCACATGCTCACAGCATTGGTCTCAGTCGCAGAAATACAATGTAAACCTTCCTCTGTTTACTTCAACTTTATATATTGTACACAAATACCACCTCAGTTGTTTCAAATTTATTTAAAAAACAAGGGAAAGGTGTTTTTCTTCATCATGTTTTCTTTAATTCCTTTCTGAAGGCAACACTGTAATTCAGAATGAAACTGCTGATTACTTGTGAATATGATTATTATGTTAGGAAATGATATACCATCACAAAATCACCTCATGCTATAATGATTAATAGTTGTGCAGTGGGTGTCTGACACAGTAATGATGGAAAATTATCCTGAGCTTACAGCTTAAATTTCCGTACAGGGACAAAACAAAACCTTTCTGCTGAGATCTGAAATACTGTATGAGCGTCTGACTACAAAAGAAAAGCTGTGCAAGTTCTGGGACTTTAAGGGCCTGTCCACACGAATACGCGGCCTCACCCAATACGATGACGTTTCGAAAAAAATCTCCGTAAACACGTGTTGTTTCCAGGAATATCTGCGTCCACACGGATTCACTGAAACGACCCAAAACGCTGTAGTACATATGCCAGGCCACACCAATACACTAAAACCGGAAGAGAAGCCATGGAGCATGCACTGTTTACAAACAAGTAGTAGTAGTCCGCCATTGTTGTTATTGTTATGACGCGTCTAGCGGTGGCGGCTGAGGTTAAAGGCTAGAGAGGCGGGGCTAATACGTCATCGTTTCGGAAAAAAAATCAGTTTTCGCTGCCCAGACAACTCCGGGCAATCCGGCGTTTTCGGATTTTCCTACTCTGGGATCCGTTTTCAAAAAATACCGTTTTCACACCCCGAAAACGCCGTATCCATCTGGACGCAAGGCCGATAAGATAAAGTATTTATCCGGATTCGAGAAAAACATATTTGTGAGGACAGGCCCTAAGAACCATTAAGGCAACAACACAAGCTATTCTCAAATAAAACATTGACTTTGTTATAGCAATTGTTGGACATCTTCAGAAATATGCTTCTTCACATTCTTGCCAAGAGTTAGATAAGAAGATTGATACATTGTCCATTAAATTTGTAGCTGGACCCAGCATCTGGTTGGCTGTATTGTGTTAATTAGTGAGCTCTAGAGGTACTGGTACTGTAAGCAGATTTTGTTACATTGAGCCTATATGCTTGTGACATGTCCTTTTCATACATGTAAACGTATTTAAAAATTAACAGTCCTACAGAAAAACAGCTTACTCAGAGTATGTTAAGAGTTAATAAGTAAAATGTCCCTGAATGTGTAACTATGATATGGATAATTACATGAACATGACTTCGACCATAACAAGACATACTGTCAGTGTTATAAGTATTATAATAATAATAACAATAATATATAATTATACTAGTAAATAATAGCCACAAATATCTTATCTCATAGACTAATGGATAGTTGTGTGGAGGCTGACTCAGCAGCACAGTGTTGTAAAGTTGCTGAAAAGTTGTCTACACTACTCGTTATTTTGGGGAAGATGCAAATGTAGATTAATGGTGTAGTTAACTCGAAAACAAGTGGCAATATTTTGTAGCTCTGCAGATAACTTTTTCGTTTTTATTTATTATTTGGAAACTAATAGGTTGCAGGAAAAGAAAACCAAAACAATAAGCTGAAAGACGCTAAAACTCTCCATAAAGCTGAGGGCAACTGCACAATAGGTTGATAATTTTATGTTGGTTCCTCACTAAGCAGGACCTCTTTCACATTACATGAAGTCATTTGATCCATTTCTAATTTAAAAATATTGATTAGTGCAGCTTTAATATTTCTTCCTTTGGCCATAAGTAACATTTGTCATAGATATTCCCTTGATATGATAAACATATGTTACTAATGGCAATAATTCAGTCACAGACACAAGCTCTTCACTCAAATCTTGTCAGTTTAATTCAAGTATTGAATATTAAGCCAGTGTTTGTATATGACTGTTGAATGTCAACACTATGTCAAAAATGAAAGTCTAACAGACTTCCCCTAGAACGTATGATATAATCCCTATCATGATTTGAGTACACAGAAAAAAGTTTGATGGCAAATGAAGTGTATGAAAATACACAATGGTCATTTTCTAAATTCACAAACAAGAATGTCTATCTCTTATTACAATGCCAGTTCATCAACACCTGGCTTTACGACATGAACATGTACAAACATATCCTTTTTACAGTGGGGGTACTTTCAAGAAATTATTGTTTTAATTAAAATTTCACACCAACCGGATAAAAGACAGTGATTTAACGGAGGCAAAATCTGTCTGCAAGTCATAAAACATTTGATTTAACAAACCATGGGCAGTGAAGCACTTTGACAAAATATGTGGCAACACCTGCTGCCATAAGTTTACTCAGAAAAAATATTAATTTCAGAAGCACCATGTGATAACTACCTTTCATCCAGCACCTGAGAAAAGATCTCAGACCTGTGTAAATAAAAAAAAATTTTTTTACGAGAATTTTTACGAGAACAGATCATATAATTGTTCTTGGTGGGTGACCAAAGAACAGGGCAAGAGTACAATTATGTTGTTATGAGACCTGGTTGAAGGCAAGGATCTCTGTGTGAGACTTAGAGTCTGAAAAAACACTCAAACCTTGTTAGTCAGAGGTTTGTAGTAATTGTTGGCACCTCAGGAAATACCGCTGATAATGGCTAAATTTCCATGTCGGAACTCTGGACTTCTAAAATAGAGCCACTATGGACTTTGGCCAAAGGCTTTAAGTGATATAAAAAGTTAATAGCTTTGCACACACAAGTGTGTCATTTGATTAACCCCAATAAAACACATTTGTGTCTACTCATACAAAACAACTGTAACATTAAGCTCTAAACAAGCAAGCTGGTACAGATTAAATGTATCTTACAGTGTTTCTGTGTTCACGTCTATAAGACCTCATCTTCATTTTCTTTATATCTTTGATGCTATCGATCATGGGTAGTCCCTGAAAAGTCTTCAGACACACACCTTGGTCTGTGAGCCTCAGCATTCAGATTCAGTGATTAAAAAGGAGCTACCAATTTTATCCAAACTACAAAACTATGTGTGTGTTCCATTTTTCTTACCACCTTTGTCCAGCCAGGAAGTTATTTGGGACCAATGAGGAAAGTACGGGAGAGACGTTAATGACAGAAGGCAACAGAATTGACCACAAATGGCACAGTCCATTACAGATACCACACACAACCCAACTGGTTTATGGTGCAAACAACTTGAAAATTCAAATCTACTTTTCTTTAGTTGTATCTAAATTTAAAACATAAATGTGAAGGTGCAAAAAAGAAGGTGAAACAAATCTGGGAACTGAAATATGGAGTAGGTGTATATAGGCTTCTTTTTTAATATGACAAAAAGTTGTAAAGAAGATATATGACTTTTTGTTACATATGGATGTCATATAAGCATGAAGTAGTCAGAGATCACAATAGAAGCCAAGTCAAGATGTTTGAGTTTGCCAGAATGAAAATGGTCTGTCAGTTATATTGTTTAAATTCTGGTTATAAAAATACTGATATTAAAAGACCAATGTATTTGGATAAAAACTACTTTTATGATATAATATCATAAAACAGGGCTGTCATATTCAGGACTACTTATACAAGCCTGGTGGAGTTATAAATGGAAATATATATGCAACCCCTGTATAAAGGGGTGTCCTGAGAGGGGACTTGGAAATCACCATTAGCAAGTTAGTTTACTACAAAGTTACTACTTAGCTTTTTGAAATGACCTCTTTTCTGCAGTGAAATTGCATTTAAAATTTTGGAAAACTGCTTTAAAGAATGCTTGTTGGGCAGATCATGTTGTTATGTTGTGTGGTTATTTAAAGCATAAAAAAAAAAGACTTAATAGGATACTCTTCCTAGTTGGAACACCTATGTTTTCTTGGACAAAGGCAACTTCAAAGCCATCTAATGCAGTACTAATATAGAGGGCAAGATAGCATGAGTATGTACATTTACTTTTAGGTTTACCAAGGAAAGGAGAAGGAGAAATGGAGCACACCACAATGTTTTCTTTGTTCCCTTCTTCTTCCAGCTGCTCTACAGCATAGAGTTTTCTGACCAGTTTTCTGCTGCGGCAAATGTACTGTTTGCATAAAGAACTGCAGCGTGAACTGTATAAAACAACATGCTGCTCATGTCTTTGTCGTTCTTCCCAAAGAATTGTCCCTTCTGCAGGGTATCAATGACTAAGGTGTTACAGTTGGCCAAGACTACGCTCACCCCAATCTCTTTATATTCCTTGACCAGCCCTTTAAATGTGGCCATGCCTGTGGAGTCTATGAAGGGGATGGCAGAGCAGTCTAAAACTATTGTGTGAAAATCCAGTTCTACCGATCCAATGGTGACCTCTCCGTTGTTTTTATCCCCATTAGCCTTGGCCTGTTTCGAGGACATGTCTTTGGCCTTCTTCTCTGCCTTTCTCCTTATAGTCATTTCCAAGAAAGGTTCGACTCCGACAGCTTTGTAGAGGGATTTTAGGAATGAGTCCTTGTTGGCGTAGTAAAGAGGAGCCTGGAAACGGAAGACCTGAACCCGAGGTGGCGGCAGGAGGTTCTTGTACTCGTCCATATCCTCATAAAGATCAGTATCATTGGCCCGGCCAAGGAGGGAGACCTGACATCAGATCAGATAAGATTATGAGACTACGAAACACCACTATTTGTCTTTCATTAAATATTCGAAATCTGCTTCCAGTCTTCAAAATCTGCTATCAATTTTCAATACTTTCCACATTCTTTCATTTTTGTCATTTGTATCAGCTTTCAAAAACCATTACCAGTGTAAAGTTCATTACTAACCTTAGGGTTTTGGGTCTTGAAGATGATGCAGATCATAGAAAAAACTATTCCGACCAGGAGGCCCATCTCCACACTGATCAAAGCGGTAGCTGACATAGTGACAAGCCACACGATGGCGTCGTTCCGGCTCATACGCCACTTATCTGGGACGTCCTTAAACTTTCTCAGTGCCCCCCGAAGGCTGACAATGATGATAGAGGCAAGAACACACTTCTGGAGAGCGTAGAAGAAAGGTGCGAAGAAGAGGAGGACGAGAAGAACGACCAGCGCGCTGATCAAACTTGATACCTGATGGAGGAGATTTTTATAAATTTTATAAATCAACATGAACAGATAAAATATTGTGTGTTTTGCTGCTCTTACTGCTGGAGCTCTACACATGGCCTCAGCACAGACTTTTGTGATGTTCCTAGAAACCAAACCTAACACAGGACAGCCAGAACTTGCTATCAACTCCAAGAATATTAAAGCAATATTTTGCTGACATAGAAAAGGTAAAGGTAGTGAGAAAGTTTTTTTCCAGACCTTTCTAACCATGAAACAGAGTTGTGAAGACATAATAAGTATATTGTAAACTGGCAACAACAAAGATCTAGTGTATTACATAATTTTGTTTCAGAAGGTAGCACAATAAAAATATATGTATGTGAAAATGTCACATTAATGCTTCAAAGAATGCATGCCATCTGTCTAAATCCTGAAGACAAAGAAACTGATAACAAATAGAGCTATTTTTGAAAGTATGAAATTCACCTGTGTCTGGCAGCCTGTTGAGTCTTTCACCATGGTTTTTGCCAGCGCTGCACTGGTGGTGAAACAGTGGAAGAAGGAGGGGATGATGTTACAGCAGCCGATGGCCAGCATCTCCTGGTTAGGACGAACCGTGTACCCGTTTTTCTTTGCAAACATCTCGGACAGTGATACAGTGAAGGCAAAACTACAAGACAAAATGGAATTGTGTTTAGCAATTGAGGCTTTTCCCTCATAAAAGCATGTGAAGGCATTTTTAGACGTGAGATAAACATGCATTTAGGGTGATCATATTATAATGCTTTAGGGTCCAAGAATCATCACTTTTGTCAAAATAACTTTTATTTCCAAAGCAGAATGTTACATTTAGTGGTATGGCTCTGTTCTGGGACCTCCTTGCCCTTCCACGTGAATATGTGGAAAAGTTTAAGACAAGGAGAGCAGCAGCAGAGACCCCCCAGGGTACAGAACAGAGCAAGCATCAATGGCAATCAGAAATTACATTGATTAATCAGATACAGCATAAAAGGAGGAGCTGGGGTGGAGGTGGATTGCAAAACTGCTTGCAGAGGAAGCAGCAAAGATAGGCAGGCTAAATTAGCTTAAATAAGGCGCCCTGAATGACATTTGCCAATTGGATGTTTCAAGGGGATCAGCTGAGTCGTCAGATGACTGTGTATAGTTTTCCAATAGGACGCTTAGGAGGAATCAGCTGAGCCATCAGCTGATGTGTGTTTACGATGTAGCTGGAATTGAGAGCTGAGCTTGACTTCGTGGCCTGCCTGAACTAACGCTGTGCTTAGTATTAATAGTAAACATAGTACAAAACCATGTGTGTGTGTTCCATTTTTCCTACCACCTTTGTCCAGCCAGAAAGTTATTTGGGACCAAGAGGAAAGTACGGGAGAGACATTAATGACAGAAGGCAATAGAATTAATTCATTCCATTACAGTACTACACACAGTCCAACTGCTTTATAGTGCAAACAACTTAAAATCATATCTGCCTTTCTTTAGTTGCATCTAAATTTGAAACAAAAATATAAAGGTGCAACAAAAAAGGTGAAACAAATGTGGCAACTGAAATATGGACAATATGGGTGTATATAGGCTTTTTTGTCATATGACAAAAAGTTGTAAAGAAGATATATGACTTTTTTTCAAATGTGGATGTCATATTAGCATAAAGTAGTCAGAGATCACAACAGAAAGCCTAGTCAGGATGTTTGAGTTTGCCAGAATGAAAATGGTCTGTGCTTAATTATTTAATTCCCATACAACTCCTAATGAGGGACAGGTAGCTTTATTTCTGCATCCATAATATTTTCAAATTTAGACTCAATTGTTAAATTTAAACTTTTAGGATCTATTTATAGAAATTGAATATAATATCCATTAGTATGTTTTCATTAGTGTATAATCACCTGAAAATAGGAAGCCCAGAATGAACAAACCAAACACTAGCATCAGAAAGGGCATTTTGCATTTTCGCGAGTTTTGCAGCCACTGTACTTTCTCCTACATGCTTCTAAGGTGAGCAGTATTCAGTTAGTTGTAATCTGAAACTTCACCGCTAGATGCCACTAAATCCTCCACACTTAATGCCAAACAAACATGTTGTTAAATTTGTTGTACATTACCTAATGATAGCCAAAGGAATGGCATCCAGTGCCACCCGTGAAATCAGAACAAAGCTGGGCACCTGGGGAGCAATGAACCCCGTGGGAATGTGACCAGAAACACTGGAGCTGTAACGGCTGTTCAGTTCCCCGAAATGGCTGGCCAGTGTAGCTCCGGCAACTACTAGCAGCTCAGTCGGCAGAGGGATCTTTAGACGGTCCTTGTAGCGCTCCTGGATCTCTTTCCCGGCCACTATAATCAAAAATGTATAGTGTTATTCTATATTACAGAAAATTAGGAATTCTAATTCAGTCAATATTCAAGGACATTGCTAAGATAATGACATCAAAGACAATCTCCTGTACTTGTAGAATTTTATAATTAATATTGGATGCCTACTCCCATGTCATTCTGGGAAGTGTAGTGTGTCATTTATTAAAGTAGAAGCAGGTGAGGCAGTTTATAACAGTGACTGAGAATCTGATGGGGAGTGTGTAAAATAGAGTTCTTTACCTAATACAGAGATACAGATGGCGCTAGTGATGAGGTCACACAGGTTGGTCTTATGAATGTTTGAAAAGATGTTGATCCAGGTAATGACAACTGTTCCATAGCCCTGGTAACGGGGAATCTTTAGACCCAACAGGTATTTAGCCTGTACGGTCAGGATGGTGAACGAGGCTCCAGTGGCAAAACCATCCAACATAGGAGCCGAAAGGTATACAGAGACAAAGCCTAGCCGAAACACGGCCATCATGACCTGGTGAGAGGATCAGAAGGGAGAGGAAGAGGAAGGGAGAGGTAGATCATGAGAAAGTGAGTCACTTATCAAATGATATATCTCAACATTTACAAGATAGATTTGTACAAAATGTTTTACTGACATTAATGGTTTCCAGGGGATGTATCATACTGACTTTGGTGGTCCCCTTACTTTTCCTCTCACACCACCATGAGGTCCACATTTTATAGAGTAAAACAACTATGGATGGATTGCCATGAAATTTCACGTCCCAGATATAATGACTGATAAAAACTGGTTAGTGACCAAATTTCTGCAATAAATAATGTACCCTTTAGCCACAACCTGTACTTTGTGTTAAGTGCTAAGTAGTTAATTTTGGCATGCTAACACACTAAACTAAGATAATGATCATGGTAAATAGTATACCTATTATACTAAACATGAACATGTTATCATTGTCACTGTGACCATGTTAGAATGCTAGAGCCACAAGCATGGCTGTAGACAATAGTTTTGGATATTATAGTCCATGTAACTCTACATACTAACAAAATGAGGACCAACCTTACAAAACATTGGTCCATAGCTCTAGTAGTTGCCTTTAATTCAGATATACAGTGTTTTATATCATGCTGAGTTTTTTCAGACAGCAAGGTCAGAATACAACTGTTCCTTTACCTGATAGATGCCAACCAGGAATGTAAGGGCAGTAGCGACACTGATGGCGTAACACTCCTTCCCACACTGCACTCCCATTAACTCCACACTGTGAAGTGTACCAGCTGTGAGGTTAGATTCTAGTGTGGCATTAAACATATCAGGCCCAGACAGTGTTGATTCCTCATTGAGGTCAAAACCTGCCAGGAACAGCTCCTTATCCACCACCTGCAGTAAAAAATAGAAACCACCAGCAAAACAATCTTAATTAATTAATGTATTTTGTAGCTTAACAACCAAATTGTGGCATTGCTTGCTAGTTGTGATCCATTACCTGTCCGACCATGAGGCTCATGAGGCTGAAGATCCCCACAGAGACATGTCTGGACGTCCCCATGAGGAAGTAGATGATGTTGGCATAAAATGAGGTGTATAAACCATAGATGGGCTTCACTCCTGCCAGTAGGCAGTATGCAATGGCCTGTGGTACCAAGATGATACCAACGATCACACCTGACATTGCATCGCCCCAGACGTACTCTGTGAGCTTGTATTTAGGCAGCCAGCTCACCACAGGGAAGAACCCGGTCAGGGTGGATCGGACTCTGGGCACGGAGCAGGTCACACCCTGCTTCAGTTTGGATTTGAGGACTGAAACTGTGGGCTTGCGCTGGCGAACCCGCCGTTCCAGGAGAGGTAGCAGGGCAGGTGTGGTCTCCTTGGTGACCTCCTCCATGGTGTAGGGAGGGAGAGGAGGCAGCACGTTGAGAGGAAGAGGGAGGGGAAGTGGATAATGCGGTCAGCTGTGCGCCTGGGAGATCATCATCAAGGAAAAATGGGGGAGGGAGAGAGGAGAGGGAGATAAACAGGACAGACAGGGAAACAGTGAATGTCAGTGGAGATGACGTCATTCAGTAGAGATTATACTGTATCTTCCTGTTCACTTTCTTACTGAGCATGTTTGCTTTGGTATATTTGAATTCTGGGGTGTTGTACACATACTAAGAGAAAAATGTATTTATTTTTGGAGGAAATTACGAGAATAAAGTCATAATATTAGGTCTACGAGAATAAAGTTGTAACATTACAAGGATAAAGTCATAATATTACGAGAATAAAGTAGTAATTTAAAAATAATAATAAAAACTGTCAGCCTGTTGGCTCAGCCAGCAAAACTGTTTAAGGACGAAATGATCAATACGTTAGCTTACCTGTTGACTGTACGGTATGACTGAGACAAACAGCGGCTGCTGGGCTCAGGCTGAGGCTGCTGATTGGTTGAGCTGGTCACGTCAGATCTTGAGAACTCTATCGAAGCTTTTTTCTCATTAAAACGACTTTTTTCTTGTATCATTATTCTCTTATTATTATGACTTTATTCTCGTAACATTACGACTTTATTCTCGTAATTTCCAAAAAAATGTAAAAAAATGTCTTAGTCTGGCCCTAATACTCCGTCGTACTAATACTCTTACATTACTTTAATAATCATACTACTTACTTTTTTAGGAAGAATACTATGCATAGTGTTTATCATCTTCTATGAGAGGTGCCAAAAAAGGTGCCAGTACCCTAACTGAGCACAACATAACCCTGATTCTTTTGGCGTTTAAAAATGTATTTTTTGAACAAGGACATTATCAGTGCTGTTTTCTTTGCATTAAGCTAGCTGTGTTGATGAGTACCTCACCAGCATTGCTGTATGCAGGCTTTTAGAAATACCGAGGTCCAAAAGCTGAACTTGCTAGAGGGGTTTACATGCATCAGAGCATCAAAGTAGATGTTTTTAGACAATTATTTTACAACTTTTATTGTCTACCCCTTTGGAAAAAATACTGGTGACCTTAATGGTGGGCACGACCTCACACCAGAGGTGGCGGTACTCAGGTACTCAATAAGAAGAAGGGCACACATGGACAAAATCAGAAGCTGATTTCTCAAAATAATTTTGACCAATAAACCCGTTTCTTACGAACCAACTGAAAAATACAAAGGTACAGCTTGAACCAAAGCAAACAAAATGCATGTGCTCAGTCTTTTATGTATTCCAAACCAGATCTTGTAAGGTGCATCCTATAACGGACCTTAGTTTTATGATGACATAGTGGAATTTCCTTTACACAGATCAGTTCACCCTTTGTGTGAATGTTCAGTCAGGATTATGAATTAAGTTACGGTGAATTACTTTCTTATTTTCAGAAAGACCCAAAGTACAAAGAGTTTACCCAAGACAACTGTTCTGTTAAACTTCAATGAATAGTTGTGCAACAATATGTGCTGTTGTAAATCATTCAGTTAAGGGAACAGAGTCACTCACAGGAATATGTGCACTGTGGTCATCTGCACTGTAAATATACAACAACATGTATTAGGATATCAGTATTATGGCCTGTTCCAAGATTATAACTCAAATAGATTTAAAAACATGGATAATCTTAGACTAAAGTCTAAACGAAAAAAAAACGACTCTGATTCTTCCCTCTTCATTTATGCCAATCCTGCACCTGAACTGTTATTCTGTGTTGACACTTTTGCACTTTTACTTGTTGGTTATCTGTGTGTGCCGTTGTGTTGTCGTCTGATGTGTGCTGAGGTTGAGTAAGGACAGGGTTTTTATAAAACTATGCCAAAGCAATGGAAGAACTAAGAAAATGTCTATATATGGACAGCAAGAAAGCCCATGACCGCTGTCCCCAGGGAATCAATTTTTGTGCTGCTTCTGAAAAATAGAAATCTCAGTCAACCACCACTGTTGAATGGATTGCCATTTAATTTAAAGTCATTCATGGTCCCCAGAGGATGAATCCTACTGACTTTGGTGATCCCCTGACTTTTCATCTAGTGCCACCTGAAGGCTGATTTATTTTAGATTTTTTGTGAAATATCTCAAACTATTGAATGGATTGCCATGGCATTTGACACATGTATCTGCAGTGCCCAGATGATGAATCCTAATGACCTTGGTGATCCCCTGATGTTTCCTGTTGTGCCACCAAACATGTCAAAGTTTTCATTATCCAGTAAAATAGCTCAACATCTACTGGATTGTCACAAAATTCTGCTCAAACATGCATACTTCCCGGACGATAATTTCTAATGTCATCTCCTGACTTTTCCTTTAAAGCCCCATTATGTAACTTTTCTACCTTAAAATAACCAAAATAATTTTGATGCTACACTGACTTATAATAGTAATAATTTAATGGTGCCTCTGTCATTTCCACCCATGCTCCTGTTCTTGCACTATGGACCTTTTGGCTCCGAGACAGAACAAATGCGTAACGCTTTATGGCAGTAGTCACACAGCACGATTCCACTGATTTTGGAGAAACTGGATCGTACTTTATGAAGATAATCTTTTCTGGTTTTCCTTCTGATGTCCTCCGGCTGCTCTGCCTAATCTCTCAGTGATTTATAGTTTCCTGATGGACAGTAAAGTAGTAGGTAATATTAGCTGGTTTGATTTGTTTTATGGTGTTGCACTTGCTTGATGTTTGGTTGTGTCAGAAAAATTATTGACTCCCTAGTTTCTGATCATAAGTAATGTAGTCATAACAAATACATGTGTACAACTGTCCATATTTACGACACTACAACACGTCATATAAACTCAACAATCACTGACATAAAATCCCAGCTCTGTTTCTGTAAGAGTTAAATTAGCCAAGTCATACAGTTGTTGCATTGCAAATATGGTCTAAATTCTGTTATAAAACCCATAACTGACACAATCTATTCAATTAAACACACATCCTGCAATGACAGCAAGAGATCAACACTTTTATGACACTTATGAATGAATCTTGTGATTGATGGGTTGCAGAAGGCCTTTTTCTTAAGGTTAGTTTTCAGTAGCAGCTGTGCCTCAGCTTAGATAACCATGTCACAGAAACCATAAAACACCATAAATGGCCTATTATCAGCCTTGCCATCACAGCAACGCTGGTATGTGCTATGATTTAGACTTCCTGTGGCAGCGCTGGCAACTCTAACAGACAGGCGAATAAAGAATAGAGGAATTTTTAAAGGGTTACTTAAACTTGTTGTTTTGAAGTTGTCTTAATCGTATGTAAGTTTCATTGTGCTTTTTATCCTGTCTTTTCCTCATCTTTATTGATTTTTCTACTCACCGTTTCCAGGCAGTTTTACTTTGCAGGACAGTAATTGTTAACTTTGGCATATGTAGCTTTGAAAAAAGAGACCAGCCAACACAAGAACTAACTCACATTTGTCTCACCAACACATAAAAACTGTCTACCTTAACAAGGTTTCCTTTCACACAGACACTTGATTGACTGTTGAACATGACATGAGTCACACTGAGGACCTTTTAGAACCAAAACATTTAATTTACTTCAGTGTCAACCCTGAACAGCACTGAAAACAACTGATTAAAGCTGTTTCTGTAAACCATTTCTAATCAATGTTCTCCGCCTTTAATCATGTGATATAAAAGCACCCCACCATGGCTTAGAAATCACCTGAAAGCTTCCTTTGAGGGGAAGCTCGCCTTTTTATGAATAGTTGAAATCTTTTCTGTGAAAGTCTAAAGAGGTGAAAATAACACACTAAAACAGTGCCCTGTGACACATCAAGACATGTAGGGTCTTCAATACGACAATAATATCAACCAGTGTTTCAATCTACTGCAGTGAAATAACCCAAAGGGAATCTTTCTTGATACTATATTGCATGTGCAGATATAAAAAAATAAAATAAAGCATGATTGCATTGGCCAAAAGTTTCATGATACAAATTTTTAAAATCCTGAATCCTAATTTGATGACAAATATTATCACTTTTAAAAACTTTTAGAGTCAGTCCACAAGCTCAGTCTTTAAAAACAATGCTAAACTACTGGAGCCAATAGACTTTTAATTGTACACGCAACACAATGATAAAGATACAACATGACGTAACCATGAAAGCTGATTCATTAATTGACAAACAAAGAAAAATCTATTCAATCTCAAATCATTGTCTAAACCTCCATGTTTAAGTGAACAGCCAAGAGACAGTCTAATAGATTTGGCATTAAGGAAGATCATTGAGGTTAAATTCAGGGCTGGAAACAGTCATTACTACTAAAATGCTCTTCTCAAGTACTTGACTTTAATGAAGCAGACATAAGATGACTCATGTACTTACTCAAGTAAAAATAAAAAAATTTGCTCTTCTGAAGAGTACTCAGTTACTTAGTTCCATATGGTCATTGTGAAGAAAGGTCTTATACTAACCAACACCTCTCTAATTCAGTAACACTCTACAGAAACTGAAAATCTAAATCAAACTGAATCAAAATACACCAGAACTGTAGGATACCCTCTAATTTTTACCTGTCCAAATGTAGTTAATACACTCAAAATAGTACAACAAAAATTTTAATGGGACCGCAGGACTCATTCATCACATTGTAACTATTCTTATAGATGCTTTCCAGATGGAATAAAAACCCATTTTGAAAGCATCAGTGGTCATTCCTTGGACATCTAAATCCAAATGATAAGAACACATAGTTCCAGATATTAATGCGTGATGACACACTCACCTCCAGAGTCACTGCCACAGGGACAAACGGACCACAAGTCTCGGATGAGTTGTATTTAAATCAGTTCTGTGTCGACTGCCTTAACTTATTCTCATTTTCTATCTCTATCTTCTACTCTGTATATGTCTCGCTTGCGTTTTCTCTTTCTCTCTTGGATGTCATCTGAGCAGTTAGACAGCAGTGGATGTGACTGTGATGATCTCTGCTGGATAAATAGTAAGATAAGAGCAGCCCTTTGCTCACACTGTTCCCTATTGGCTTTATTACCAAGCGTGGGAGGGACTTGTCATCATTTGCACCAACTGAAAGGCATTTGTGTGTGTGTGTGTGTGTGTGTGTGTGTGTGTGTGTGTGTGTGTGTGTGTGTGTGTGTGTGTGTGTGTGTGTGTGTGTGTGTGTGTGTGTGTGTGTGTGAGAATGTGGATGAGCCAACTCTGGCCAGCAGGTTAAATCGAGTCAATTTTTTACTGGATCACAGTGTTTATCTGCCCTGCTGGAGTCCCCGGGCTGCAATCGTGTTTGTCAAGCACAGACTTGTATGTCAGCATGTCATACTGCTTAAATATATCCTGCAGAAAGAGTGGATTACATAGCAAACACAAGATAAGCTAAGAGATGCAACAAGCAAAAAAGTGCTGCTGTTATCTGTGAGAACTGTGCGAGAAACAACCTATATCTGTGCTGAATACACAATTAATAAAAGGTATCAATACTCTCACGTTTGTTTACTAAATGCTTTAAAGTCAAAGACAATCAACCAAAGTGAAACTTAGCACACTGTTACTTTTGTCATTCTTTACAAAACACAGTTATTTGATAGCTAATATCATGGCAGGCATATCATTCATTATTTAGAGAACAAAATGTCATGTTTATCGCTAATAAGAAATAAGAGTTTAAGATTGAGTTTTAGATTTAAAAAAAAATACAAATAGGGCTAAAATCCACTGTCTGAAACAAAAGCGGCTCTGTGAATGTGCAAGTGTGTGGGTGTGTCCCTGTGTGCATTATAAGATAGACTGAATGGCATCATTGTCAGTGTGAAGACATGGCACTTTACTTATTTATGTTCTTCTAATTCAGCCACAGTTACACATTTGTGACACACCACAGAGTCCTCAAGGGAGAGGGGTCTGCTTTTTGGTATATGTGTGTATTGTGTATTGTGTGTAATGACAATATCCACGCACCATAAGACTGGAATATCACAAGAAGCTGACAAACCCGAACAACCGTAAGGAGTTTCCGCCTGTCTTGTCACCTTTGTTGAGCCCTCACTACAAAGCAAAAAGCCCCTCAACCTGAGAGGTTTATTGTACTGCCCCTTTAAATCCACCGGCAGCATCCATCTGTCTGCATGTCTGCTTCATCAGATTATGATTTCTGGACACAGCTTGTCTGTTTTTCTCGGAAGAGACAAGTCAAATGAGGGAGGACTCACCCAAAGAGAAGGGGCAGCTTGAATGCAAACAGGAGGCAACATCGGCCATACCTCCCTGCCTGGTGCCTCTACATCCACCATCAGTCCTGTTCTCTGTGCCACTCTGCTGCTCACTGACTGCCTCTGGCTCTTCCTGCTTCCTCCTGCAAAGCATGATGGGATCAGCAACCCCCGTCTTGTTCCTGTCCACGGATTGGAGCCGAGCAGAGGGGGAGGGGAGAGAGGAGAAGAGATGGAGGGAGGGAGGAGGGACTGTTGGCAGTGGATGATGGTTACCATGGTGAGTAAGCTCCTGTTGATGTGTATGTGTGTGTGTGTGTGTGTGTGTGTGTGTGTGTGTGTGTGTGTGTGTGTGTGTGTGTGTGCGTGCGTGCGCATGCGTGTGTGTGTGCATAGACAACATCATCTCAAAAACACAGCTACACTTATTATATTTACATGAACAATTACAATGTACTTCAAGGTATCACATATTGACTTTAGGCTGCCAACTTTCATACCTGCCGCGAATACAGATAAAAAAACTAGCCTCCTGGTTAATCCTGGCAAATTGACAGTATGCACTGTCCCTGAGAAAAAATAAGATACTGTTAAAACTGTGTATCTTTATAGCTTTGTAGCTTTTGTGTAGCTTTCTCTGCTATTAAGAAAGTTTAAACAGATTGCAGCTGCCTTAGTTGATAATGCATTTATAGTCTTACAGTGGAAATAAGATTTCCTACAACACATTTTAATGTTATTGCAACAAACACTGAAATAAGCCCAGTATCAAAGTTTGTTATTTCACATTACTTTTATGGGATATTTCTGGTAATGCTTTTGGATACAATGTGTCAGTTAACCCAGAGAACAAGCATGATACAAGCAAATCTAGTGTAAGAAAAAGAAAAAGGTTATGGTTCAAAAGTGACTGAAGTTATGCTTTAAATCAAGTGGGATAACGACAGCAGATGTGTTATCTTATACAATTGTGAGATAAAATAACATATGATATGATATGATATAATAACATATATGATATGATATGATATAATAACATATGATATGATATGATATAATAACATATATGATATGATATGATATAATAACATATATGATATGATATGATAATCTGGAGGTGGATATTAGGATAAATTGGAGGCTTCTATAGGCCAGTTGAGAACTGGTGTGATATACAGTACTGAACTTTCTGCTCACCCATGTCTGTTTTTTGTCACTCTATAACACTATAAAGAGGTTACGTCGGATCCTGCCTGTTGGTGATTTATTGACCTGAGTTTCCCTCAAAGCTATGGTAACAACCAATTCCACAATAAAACTATATGTGTATTTGTGGTATTATTGTATATTTGGACAGATACTTACAGCTGCTCCAATCAGTAGTTTCATATTATTGAGTCAAACTTTGGGTGTGACACAAGGAGTGACACCTTTCACATTACACACATCACTACATTTTCCCTCAGTTGTGTTTTATTGCCTTTCAGTTGGCTGAATGAAAAAATAAAATAAACTTGAAATTACCAGCATGTACTATAATAATCTAGATAATGTTCAGTGTTGTAGAGAGTCAGACAGGATGAACACTGCTGAACATTATGATGTAGGGTAGGGGGTAGAGAGAGAGGGGATGACATGCAGCAAAGGGCAACAGGTCGGACTAGAACAATGGCCACTGCAGAAGGACTCAGCCTTTGTACATGGGGGTGTCAGCTCTACCAGGTGAGCAATCGGGGGCCCCAGTTACGATTATTATGAATATCACACTGTAATTCCAAGAGATTCCTTTGAATTTGATTTGTATTTGATATGTTTTAAAGTACTGCATTTTCACAATTTATAGAGATATTGCACAAAGCATGGTAAAAGCTGTGAAAACTTGATAGCTGAATTTGTCAGACCTTCTCTGTACACAGATAGGACCTATCTGAGATCCAAAGTTATTTCCTGATAATCTGATGACATGCCACCAATTAACCTTCAACATTTCCTAAATGTCATGGGGTCCTACAGCACACAGCTTACAATAGTTTATTCATTATACTTATTAACTCCTTGAGTTGAGCGTAAACCACTTTCCTGTCAGGAACGTAAATGTTTGAGGAAGATTAGCCATTGACGACAGTCATGCACATGAAGGGCCTGTTGTCAAGTCTTCTTGGTTTGAAAAAGGTTAGGAATAAAAGAAGGTATCCTGTTGACTCAGCAGGACAAATCAGTGAAGTGAAAGAGCCGATGTTTCTCACCCTGAAACTCACAATGTTGAGTAATAATTATGTTGTAGTTAAAAAGTTACCAGCATGCATTTCACAGCTTGTCAGCAATGAATAGTCACTGACAGCTGCAATAAAGAAGAGATAATCTAAGTCCTTTATTCAAACACCAATAAAAAAGTTTATTTGTTTCTATACACACACACTATGTAAGCACTGATGAACGTGTGTATCATGTGCCAAGTCCTCAATGCAGAGGCCCAGGTTTGAGTCCGGCCACAGGCCCTTTACTACAAGTCTCTCTCCCTTATTTTTTTAGTCTCTCCCTCCTTTTTATTTTCATTTAAACCCTGAGTAGAACATCAGAACTAAACAACAATGCTACAATAAAAGCTAAACAATAAATGACATTTTAGGTTTTGTACTAGCAGAAAGTGTAACACAAACCTTTTTATTAGTAAAATTAAAGATGGCTCTTTTCTATTCTTCTCCCAGTAATAGATGACAGTGAGCCAACATGAACATTAATTTTATTATTATTCATACCTGTACTTTTCCTACTGTTTCTAAAGCTGAACGTCACAATTAACCTGAACTCAACAGCCAAAGCCAATTTTAGTTGCCAGTGTTGTAGCTACATCTAGTGGTAAGGAGACAAGCAGGGAGGATTTTAGAGCTGACGTCACAGCAACTGATGCTGCTTTCTTTCTCTCTGCAGTCTGATAACCATACACACTCAGTGTCAGTGCTCGGTGCTAATTACATTTCTTTTGTTTTACTACTTTATGCTACAGACTGTTTCAATACTGTAATATTCCATGTGACTTATTGTGTGCTCTTAGTTGTGTTCACTGCAGCTTTTTTTGTTCTTCATTCTAAGTTTTCTCTGGTAGGATCGTGTGTTCGTGTAAATAAATACTTTTCATCAGGTCACTGCAAGGCATTTCGCCAAGCTCAGGGTAGTCACGTCTGCGATTATCTCATCCACTGTGTGGGAGTCAGACTGGGATGGTTCCCACTGGAAGCTGTGCACAGGTCCTTAGTGGAAGTGGGAAAGTTAACCAGACGTACATTTGCAAAATCAACCAGTTAGACTTCATCATTGAAGTATTTTCTCTTTTAAATGTATAGTGTTTGTTGAAGTTTCTTTTCAAGTGGATAAAAACACCCACTACAACAGCAGTTCTCACCTACTGTCAAGTAGCGGTTTTCAACCATCTTGTCTCAGAGGGCAGTAATGAGCCAATTATGGCTTATGTTAGATTTATGCTTTATTGGAAGTATCAAACTGTATCTTTCCATTTTACACAAGAAAAAAACTCAAGGGTGAAGATTGACTGGTTGATCTGAACTTACACTGATAAAGAGCAGCTCACAGCCGCTTCTCTGAGCTTTTCTATGGGAACCATCCCGATCATGGCTAGGCTCAGAGTTACTGCTTTGATGTTGACGCTGACCTTACTTCCACATGGAAGGAGTTATAGTATTAAATCCCCTGGGAGGCTTTATTAAAAAATCAAATTTTAAATCCAAGTGCAAATAGTTTTTTCAATGGACATATCTGTTAGACAAGCAGATTAGGCTGGATTCACATAGAAACAAAAACTCACATGACTAATTTCTGGCAGCCCATAGAAGGATAAAATACTGGATCTGTGTCTCATGGGGTTAAAAATAATTTTGTGTTCCTGTGTTAACTTTAGACTAATCCTAGAGCCAAGATTCTTTTAGAAAAGCCAGGTCTGGCTCTGGTACTGCTGTGCTATGAGCCTTGAGATCTTCATGCTTTAGATAGTATGTAAGCCCAGAGAGATTGCGTTGGAGTCAGTGAGTATAGCGGCTCACAGAAATAATGAATTCCACCTCTGGAGTTTTCCTGATTGGTTAATGGCCAGCAGACTCGGGGGTCAGCGCCAGTCAACCCAGCAAATCAACTCAAAGATTGTTTTCAGCGGCAGAGGGAATGATTAAGGGGTAATCATATTTGCAGTTACCAAATAGGCTTCCTGACGAGGAGCTTTGTTTGTAATTGCCGCCTGCCACCGCCAACAACAATAAAGTCTTGTTAAAATGTGTCTCAGGCCCACACAGGATAATATTAGTCTGTGCCTAATGCGCATGTTGTTTTACTGAAGACAGGAGCACATAACAGAGCTCAAGTGATGATGTGTAAATCATCAAGAGAAGATCTGCAAAGACTAAGATATTTATCCACCTGCCCAAAATAGTGAAAACGTATTTGCTTAAAAAATCAGTTGACGAGATGTAAGTATTTACCATATTTGAGAGGTGCTGGGCAGTAGTTCTCAAAATAGAGATTGGGCCCCTCCAGGTGATCACAAAGGGAATTTTAGGGTTATAATATGACAGATAAGTAGGAAAGGACACTGTTTCTCTGTGCAAAGTTACTGACATGTATTTGTATGAAGTAATGGTTGTGTAGCTTTTTAGATGTGTAAAGTCATGATTAAACACTTATTTTTTTCTTTGTACTACTGCTACTTTGAGACAAGGCATGCCCACTGACTATCTCCAGGAGAAGGAGGGCACTGTTCACAAGGAATTCTTTGAAAGATTGTAACCATTATTGTATTTGGAAAGATGCTGCCATTTCTCAAATTAATTTTGTTGGGGCGCTTTAAATGCCATCAAAAGTTTGGTTTGATAAAACATTCTTACCACATTCTTTTGTTTGTTGTTTTGTCGTTTGTTATAGCTTGGCTTTATTTGCCAGTTCATCCACCGATGAAGGCCAGTAGAAAAGCTCTGAAAGTTCTGCAAAACAAAGTAAGTAGCAAACAACTTTTTTTTTTTGTCAAACTGCCTTTTCCAATGTCAAGAATCAGCCTTCAAGTTGAGTTAATAATTGCGGTTTTGGGTGAGTTGTCCCTTTTAAATAAAAAAGAAACCCCCAGTGTCCAGTGTCCAAAAGTCCAGTGTGTAGGATTTAATGACATCTAGTGGTGAAGTTGCAGATTGTAACCAATTGAGCAGCACTTGCATCTGTATTTGATCACCTGGGATCAAATACAGGCTGTAAAGTGTGTAGGAGGAGGAAGGTGATCTATGGCATCTGTAGATAAAAATATTCATATCATTACACACTAATGAAAACATACCTATGAATATTATATCTAATTTATACCAGTAAATACTACAATGTTATGCACTGGACTTTTAAAGCTGCTCTAATTAATAATTTTACATCAGCAATGGATGAAGTGACAATGTGTTATCACCGGATTCTGTAGTTCCCCTCAGCTCTTTGGATTGTTGTAGCATCATTGTCATGGCCAGCAGCTTCACTTCTCAACACTCATCAGTAGAAACGATGATAAACCCACTGTAAATGAGCTTCCTAGCACAAAACGACAGACAATGTTAAAGAATAGCAGGTGAACATAATGGAGCATTTAGCAGCTAAAGAGCCAGATATTTCTCTCAGGAGTTTTTGGAGACCAAAAGAGATCTGAAATGAGAGTGAATACTAGACTTACATTCACCAGGTGTCAGAAACAGAGGTAAAGATATGTAAATGTACAGAATATGTTACATAATACATAAATTCATGCGATTTTAATGAGCCACTCCACTGAGTCTGAACTATGCCACTGATGTCAGGATGTGCCAAAATATCTTGTGGAGATTTGCATGGTTCCAAAGACTTCCAAAGCCACCAATTTACACCAAATCAATGCCAAATTCTCTGTTTATTTACCATCTCCATCACACACAAAAAAGATGAAATACAGGGCACAGTGGACTATTAAAAGTTGTCACATTGTAACAAGACATTCATTTAGCTTGTCTGAAGCTGGACTTTGAGGTTGTGCATTGACAATAAAAAGGAAAGATGGTGAGTTAACTGTTTTTTTTCTGAGGCAGAGATGCAGACAGGATCTGAAATTAAAATGCAGATATCAGTGATGACTGTAGGCGGCTGAGTTGGTTTAACACCTTAGTGTGTCAATCTTCTAAATGTGATAGTCAGAGAGAGTGAGACAGACAGACTTCAGCTATGTAAACTAAGCATCAAACATTAGATGACAGATATACCTGTGTTATAGAGGCCAACTGCAGCGCTATACCAATTTTAGCTGAATCTAGCTGCTTTTTAGCTGCTTTGGATGCTTTTACTCATTATTTTCTTTCTTCCAAGCCCTGGCTCTGACAGCACCCATGCAGGAAGTTGTCCAGGGCAAATACTCCTTTTTATTTTAATTTATTTAACACTGCGAAATGAGCATGTCCTAAAATGCAGATTATGTGTGATGGTTTACTTCTGCACCTTGAAAGGATTATGTCACAATAACATCGACTGGATGATGTAGAAAAAAATTGAATTCAGTGATAACTTACTTAAGTTAAGTAAGTTACTATAACTTATCTTTGAAACATGTCTTACTAATTTACAAAAACGTAAAGAGTCAATTCCTACATATGTCATTGTCACTTCTTACAGGATGACAATAATGTCCATAATGTAAAGTTTCTACCTTGCTGCAGTGATGTAGCCCTGAAATACAAAGCCAGCACAACATCATTGTTGGGTCTGGTCAGAGATGTAACAGATGTGAAACAGCCAGAAGTAACTGCAACAATATTTTATGTGCCTTGACAGGTTTAGGCAAGTGTTTTCATCACAGAGGTGAATGATAGAAGAGTTCTGTGACTGTGAAGGAATTCATTTCTAATTTCACATCCTCAGCCTTTGGTGTTTCAAAACTGAATATGAATTGAAGGATGGGGATAAAAACCTCCTCTTTTGACATTACATCCAGCAGTTTCAGAATGCCGTTGTGCGGGTAAAAGGCAAGAATACAAACTACTGTACAATAAACTCAACTTTAATCCTGTTTAACTTGTTTCTCTTTCACAACATGGCACCAAAAGATGCCAGTTTTTTATGATGTCATCATATTGGTTAAAAAGGAAAAGGCCTGTTGCTTCTTCCATCACGTTAGCCAGACTTTGGCTTGTAGTCTGCTGAAGTTTTCTGAGATCTGTGGCGCTGTCCCACTGACTTGATCTTCACATCCTGTGATCCAGGTGTCCAAACAGTTCTTTGGGTTTCAGAATGAGAAGAGACAGAGACTAAAAACATATTACCAGTCTGTTTCAGTCCATGGACACAAGTACTCTGCAACCAATACTTTAATTCTGCACAAAGAGGCTTTTTTTGTTTTTGCTCAATTAGAGTCTGATGCCCAGCAACAGCGCCTCTAACCTTTAGATTACCCTGTAAAAAAGTCCATGATGATGCTGGATGATAAAGTGAATATCCAGGTAAGACAACATCCTAATAAATAGGTCAGTTCAAAACAGGCGTCAAAAAGTTGTCCTCTCTAAACCAACTAAAGGGTCCTCCCACATCAGCTGATGATGTCACAGCTCTGTCAAGTCAGCCTCATAGTGGTCCAAGAGAGTCCTGGGACTCCTGCTCGTTGGCCAGTATTGTCTGTCCATTGTCGCTGTAGCTCCGGTTTGGCAGAAAGGACAATCTGAAAAAAGAAACAGAGACTTTTTAAAGTTAACTTTAATAAAGCCTTCTAATCAGAAATAATAATTAGAATAAACTTCTAATCTTTAAGATTTCAAGTCAAACCCTATTTTTTATTTTTTTATAGGAGTTTTCCCTCTGCAGGAGCTCTTCAATGTATTTGCACTTAAATTATCTCTCTATATAGTAGCTTTCGGTGTTAGTGACGGAGTCCGCCATTTCCATATCAGCCTCACTGTTTACATTTGACTCCCCTACAACTGTATCAGAGCTGCATTAAAGTTGCTGCTAATGTAAACTGAACATTTTTCATTGTCACCAACTCACACAGGGTGGCTTTTATTGTGAAGCAGCCAAAGGAAATGCAAATAAGTCATGCATCTACAAAATAACGTTTTGGGCATTTTTCAACAGCAGATGAGTTTTAAATATTGTGACAGAACAAGAAGAAGCCACCACAGTTGTTATCTAACAGCTGTTAGATAAAAAGCTGCAGGCGACAGGCTTCACACCTGCAACTTCTAATCCAGATAAACAACTTTCGTTACCATACCCTGCATTAATTCAGGCCCTGGGTGTTTTATCTCACAGTGCAACTAAACAGGATGTCACAACAATAACTGACTTTAAACTGTATCTGATGTCAGGACATCCATTAACTGCTTCAAACTCACTCAAGGTTTGCCTCAAGCATTCAAATAAACAAAGGTAAACGGTATTGTAAGAAAAGGTTGGGAGGGCAGGTTAAGGTCAAGGCAGACAAAATATATGATAGCTCTGCTGGCAGAAAAAGTTTCTGTGGCAGAGTCAGTGGGAATTGGAGAGGAAGCAGGCATGGGAAATGAATAAGGAGCCACTGGGAACCACTGTCAACATTCTTCCCAAAGTCGGCAGCAAAGTCCTCAGTGAAGAGGGAGGAAGAGGAGGGAGACAAGAAAAAAGAGAATATTTGCAAAAGGACATTTTAGCATTTGTTTTTGCAGCAATAGTTTATTTAGTAAGTACAAATTTAAAATAAAAAATAAAATACTTAACATAGCAAAAAAGAAAATATTTAGTGATTGATTATGTACTGTATGTTTTTAGTGGTCTGTTAATAACCAACTAAGACTGAGCTCAGGAAAACAGCAGCAATATCTATCTGTTTATAACCCTAATGGATGTTTGAACACGATGTTCTGGTACTTTTACAGCCATGACAGTAAGTAATTAGTTTAGTGTTTCCAAGAACTGCAAATACACAGGTACTACATATAGTGACAAACAAATGTAATACTTATCTACCAAACTGTATCTTATCTTGTATAATCTTGTATGTATGATTTCTGTAGCACTTTGAGATTCTTTTATGTAAAGTGCTTTACAAATAAAATGTATTATTATTATTATCTTGTCTTTGTCCTGTTGAAACTAAATTTAGACATATCAGGCTAATACTGGCCTTTTACCAGAAGTAAGATATTGGCTGTTTGTCCGCCGTTTGTACAGTATATACTTATAGTAGTATTATAGTATACTATAGAATACTACTTAAAGAGCATCCTGAAACCAGCTGAAAATCTTGTTTTTCTGACCTCCGGTGGCTGAAGTTCTCACCTTTCTCACATTTTCACAACAAAAAATGAATTTCATCAGATAATTATCAATAGTCACATAAAAAATTCAACATATAATTAACTTTAATTTAATTAAGAATAAATTGCCATTTTGTGCAAATCTACCACTGGTTATTAATTATCTGTGTACTTTTCTGCCCTCTGGAGGCGAAATAGGAGCTACACCTTTTTCTTTTTGTTGCCTCTAAAGCTGAATCCGATGTTGTCTTAATTTTGCAATTTTGCTGTCCAATAAAAAACCATGCATCTCCAAAAATTTTAATTTTAAGTATTAAGTGTTCCTTTATGGGTTGAGAAAATGCTCCTGCTTAAGCTAAGTGACATTTCTAAAAACCCTATGGACTGTATTAAAAAATACTGTACTCACAAATCTGAAAACGGGCTGCTTTTCTTAACTCATGACAAGATGACATGTTTTCACTTCACAGATGAGCCAGTGAGTCAATTAGTACCAGTGTGACAAGAGTGATTTTGGGGAATGTGCACTGAAGGTTAACCCCCCATCCAAAAAAACACTGCAACACATTCTTTACGTTGAGCACACCACTGCGGGAATGGAGAATAATGTGTCTTTCCACCAGTGTGTCATTGGTTTAACTGTAAATTGAACTTTGTTCAATCCCAGTACTAATAGAAACCCTAATCTAGCTTGAAGTGGCAAAAAGTCCTTCACTGTGGAGTAATTCAGTAATCTGTCCCTCTGCTTGACGACTGTAGGACCTACAAAACATACACATCACACACACACACACACACACACACACACACACACACACACACACACACACACACACACACACACACACCTAAACGGAAGTCCGGGTGGATTCCTTCTGATAAGTCCCTGTGATTAGCTGTTATCACACCATTTACTATAATGGCCACACACACACACACACACACACACACACACACACACACACACACACACACACACACACACACACACACACAGTCCCATGTGGAGGCATGTCCAGGGTGAGGAGGCGATGGGAGAAATATAAACAGAAATGTTCTCTAACTTCTGCTCCACTGTTTTGTGTGTTTTCTGTACAGAGAGTCTGTTTACTGTCCAAACACAGCTCTGTCTGTCTGTCTGACTGTCTGTCACAGTCGTGGATGAGCACAGCCTCCAGGGGAGGGATCATTATTGGACAACACCACCCTGAAATACTGAGGAGGAAATTCAGGGAAACAGGCATCCGGATTACAAATAAACATGGAATGTCAGTCAGCCACATAAATTCAACCCTACAAATTACATTTACACGAAAACTAATTTAAACTGGCAAATGTGTTTTGGAGGAAATGTAATTGCTGCAACATTTTGTTCCAGTGCACTGTGGCAAGTGTGGGACATTCTTACACCGGGAGAAAAGTCACAAGGAGGAGTTGGGGTGGATGGTTGGGTGTAAAAACAGGATGTATGCAGGTTGCACCAGCTTACATTTTTGACTTTTTAAGACCATTATGAATGCAATATAAGACCTATATATGTCCATCCTGGCGAATAGTAAGACCGATATGAAGGAAAATCAGTAGTGGTTCCATGTCGGCTTTGAGATTTCAACATTTTAAGACCTAAAATTCAAATGATTGGATTTTAGACTTTTTAAGACACCCAGAAACACACCCAAAAGCACAAGATTATGACATCAGAGACCCTGGTTAGCGTCCTGTTCCCATGTGTGGTTTAGAATATGATACTACAACTCTTGGTTAAGGCCAGAAAAAATTGGGAAAGACATGAAAGACGCTGTATTTGGGTTCAATAAGAACGTTTTATGCCGGTCTTGAAAAACAAAGTTATCCTGTGTAATGCTACATTTCCTACAAATCATACAGTATTAGGCACACACCACTGTAGAGAGTTAATTTAGCTGAATGTAACAAACTGTGTGACTCTAAGAAGAAGCAGTGTTTTGTTTGTGATCAATTGTTGCAATCAGTGTGTTCAGAGCGCATTATCTGTGCATACCTGAATAATGCATTCATATTTGTTTACACACTCTGCATAAACACACTTTAAGTTGAGTGACTGTAGTTTGAAAGATGATATTGGCAGCTTCTCTTTGGAGCCACGAGTAGCACAAACAAACCTCTGCCAGCCACAGCTGTCCGTACTGCTTTGAGGAAGATTAGACATTTATTGAGTTTATTTTAATTGAATTGTACATGCAATTTCTTTGAAGGGATGAAGATCAAAACCACATTAATTTAATCATGAACAAATTCATGCTTACATTTAGCATCATTAAATTAATGCTCTCCTCAACATCTGGGGGCGTTTTGGATTCAGTTTCATCCTGCAGCTTAAGATTCACACATACAGTCTGACCAAAACACTAATATACCTCTGATAGAGAGAAGATGTTAATGTTTCTTATCACCGAATTCACATTCAGTTGAGATACAGGTCACTTCACTGCACTTACATATATGGTATTGTTCACAAGCAAAACATGAACATGTTATCCTTAAATCTTTTCCATAAGGCTGAACAGATGTTTTGACTACACATATCAGACGATATATGACACTTAAACACATACACATGAAATATATTAGTCCAATGCACAGCACATATCTTCCCTCAGACGTTCAGTGAAGCAGCTTTTTTACTACAAGCAGTGTAGCTTAAATTTGGCGAGTCTGTTAAAAGAAAACAGCTATCCCACCCCCCAATAACAGAGCATTAAAAAAGGAGGGTTTCCCACAGGTTAAATCAAATCTTATAACATCAGCTTGATGAAGAAACCGCAGGGCTAATGCTTTGTCCAGAGACAGTTTAGTGGTTAACTCCCACCAGAGCTTTCCCTCCCTGTGTCTCCTCTAATCTATCTTGATTTTTGCTTTTTCGCTGTCCAACTGTAAGGGGAAAAAAAAGAAAACAAAAAAAGAAAAACAGGAAAAGGTGAGTGTGTCAGCTGTCAATTATGATTAAAAAAAAATGTGCAGAAAACAGCAGAGCCTCCTACATGGTTAGGAGGAGAGAAATGAGAAACAACGACAGGATTTTACTGATTTCTCTCATGGGAATCTTGAAATATGTTCCTGTGTCTATTGTGATTCTATAAGCAGCAACTGAACCTGAGCTGAACTGCAGGGGCGATGACAGCATAGCTGATGTACAGTGAAAGTTTAAAGTCTGTTTGTGTAAGATTTTCATGACACGAAACCCCATTTTTAACTGTATGTATGGTCCATGTTTTTTTCCCCATACCCTCTTTATATAGTCGTTTTCAGCATGGCTGAATTCAAATTGGACAAGGATTCAAATTGCAACGAAACATGGTTATGAGACAGTCGGCCAAATGGTTTTTACCACGTTCAATAATGGTCAAATCAGACTTTCTCTTACATACTAGGAAATATTTATCATATTATTGCTATGAAAAAGGCAAATGTCTTTACCTTTGTTTTTGATTGACAATTTATTTGGTTGTGAAATGATGGCGATCAGATAGCCGCACTGTGACGTCCACTACACGACAAGGACTATAGGCTCATACTCAACGCACATTTTTTAGATAGAAATAACACGCTTATGCCATTTATAAGCGTGTGAATTATATTCCTGTCTCACTGTTTTAAGCCTGTGGTGTTTGTAAGAGCCAAAAATCTCTATCCAAGCTATCTTTGAGCGTGTATGGGAGAGATTTGCCTTCAGGGCTTTCTAGTTCACACAGGGAAGAGGTCATGGCAGATGAAGGGGTCGAGGAAAGGTTTTTCACCCAAGAGACTGCGGTTGTGTTCTATGTGAACTCAACGCTTATTTTTTTTAGACTTCATGGTAACAACATATTTCAACGTTGCTAGGAAGGACATCCAGCTGATGGTCAGGTCACGTCCCGGACATCGGCACAACTTTATTTTTGGGACTATTTATTAACCATAATGCGATGTCTTTGTTAGGACTTTCAAACTACATTCAATGTCTCAATATTTGCTGGGACTCTCACTGATATCTGCCTCACTCTTCCACAAATCCAGTCAGATTACAAGTTACAGATAATGCACAAAGCACAGTGAGCTGTAGTTTTGCTGCACACCTTTAACTCCTCAGCAAGGTAACAAAGTTTACTGTCTGCTGTGTTCGGCATTAAAACAGACCACCAGAGCTTGCCCTTCTGTGTCTCCTTTAATCTGTCTTGATTTTTGCTTTTTCAGCTGAAAGAAAAAAGGTGAGGGGGATTTCTCTTCCAATACATGAGCACTTTGGTAATTGTACATCATTTTGTTTAGTTTGAGGGCAGTGAATTGTTTTGTGAGGCTGTGTCAGCTGTCAATTATGATAAAAATAAAAACGTGCAGCGTAGCCTCCAGTGTGGTCAGAGGGAAGGAGAGTAATGAGAAATGACTTGTGGTATTGTACTGATTTCTCTCATGGGAATCTTTAAATTTGTCTCCGTTTATTCAGATTCTATAAGCAGCAACTGAACCTGAACTGTACACTGAAAGTTTAAACTGTTTGTGTAAGATTTTCATGGCATGAAACCCTATTTTTAACCCCCATTATTTTTGGTCTATGTTTTTTTTTTTTCTTCAGTACCTCTTTATACAGTGGTTCCCAATGTGGCTGAGTGGAGGGGTCTGCCATTCCCGTGCTGAATTAAAACTGCCTTCACTCACAAGTGAGATTCATGGGAAGTTATGCAATGTGATCTTACCTTACACTCACTGACATCAGCCTCACTCTTTACTGTTCACTCTCCCACATTGCATTACAAATTACTGCTAATGCTAATCCAACATTTCCTACTGCGGCTTCACATTAAAAGTATTCTGTTGTGAAACAGCCACAATAAATGAATACATTTTTTATCTGTCACCACAGTCAGTGTAGACCACAGTCGTTTATTAAAAATGTTTACAAAAGAGGCATGATCATTTTGGTCACAGTGGATCATTTTAAAATATTGCAGGCAGGGAGTAATGCAACAAGAAGGAGCTGCTAATAAAAACACAGTGAGCTGTAGTTCTGCTGCACACCTATAACTCCTCAGCAACAAACAAAACAAAAGTCTGCTGTTGTCTGGAAAATTACTCCCGCCCTGAACAGCATGAAATCAGATCTCAGTTGCCTATTATTATTGACTGACTTCCTTATTAAAACGATGTGAGTTAGTTTGCTTGGCTGTGCTGTAAAAACAGATAGACCAGCTGCTCTGCTCTTGTACTTTTGACAAAGTAGCTGCTCAAGGACTGTTTTCTGTTGCATTAATTCTCGTTTGCTGTTACCATTGTGACCACAGGTGTCGCAAAATCAACTGGGACTGAAATCTTAAAGCTTACAACTTTAAAACCAGCAAATGTGCATATATTATATCATACATATTTATATGTATAATATACATATAGTCCATATAGTACTATATATAGTACATTTGTTCAAATAAGACATCAGAAAAGCTTTTTAGTCCTGTGCTTTAACCAAAAAAATTGAAGTAAGCCATTAAAATGGACTGTACTTTCAATGCCACCCTATAACTTATAAAGCCTTAATTTACTATAATTTCTTCAATCCACAAACTTGAGATCTTTAATTGGAAACATAATTTCCCTGAGAAGGAGCTCTTAGAAAAAAAGGCCAGTTAAAAACAGCCCAGTGTAGGTCATGTATTGAACTTGATGTTCATAACAGCATAACTGCATCTGGCGCCTGTATGCTGCCAGATTTGCTGTTATCTGCCAGTTAGTTTGATCTGTGGCTGAATTCCAGTCTGACAAATTGAAACATTAGATCAAAACACAAATCAAAAGGCGACACGCTCAGGAAAAGATCGTGAGAAAGGAGGACTCCTTTCTTGTTCTTTCGGGGAAAGGGAATTTTAACTGACTCAGGAATTTCAGATGAGGTTTTTGAAACAATATTTATTGTTTTATTTTTTGTTTATGCAGTCGTTTGTGTATGTTGGCTGTTTCCGCCGCTCCTGGCTGTGTGGTGTCAACAGTTTCTACTGCTCCCGGCTGTTGATTGTTTTCTGATGGGCTGCTCTGTCTACAATATGTGGATATTTGACAACAAAAAAAGGCTTTGCATTCGTTTCAATGAAAATACATCGAAAAAAATTTATTTTCATTTTTATGTGAATTCAGTAAAGAATGCTTCCCTCCTCTCCCAAGGCCTCATGAAATCCTGACCCTAAAATGCCACTGTATGACCATTAGACAATGCAATCATGACTGATCCATATATTTGTAATTGCAATGATGCATCATTCAGTAGCTGTCCTTGTTTAGGATGCATGCATTCATGCATCAATTTAATTTATATAACATCAATCCATAACAGAAGTTATCTTATCTAAAATATCTAATCAATCTTTGCTGACTGAGTGCTTGCATTATTCTTGTGAGAGTAAATATGTCAGCTATAATCCTGACAAAGTCACGCTCCACGCACCCTTGCATGTTTCCTATTTCCTAAATTCCCTGTTTCCTTCTTGCTGTCCCGTACAACAAGTACCTTGTGTGAAAACATCCTCTGAACTGTAACATGACCTTAAGAGAGATCGCCGCTAGATAGACAAGAGGTTTGTGTTCCTTTAATTTTGTGTTAATATCTTTCGGGGACATAAAATAATCAAATTTCACTGTTATCTCCCTGCTTTGGGAGCTGAAACAGTGAGGAGGGAGCGCTGATGGGGAAGGAAGATAAGGTGTGTTTTCCCACAGGAACACCGAGGAGCAGGGCGGCGGGACACAGTGGTGGCGTTAGCCTCACTCGACCAATTGGGCAGATATCACTGGAGCAGCTAGTTATGCTCTTTCTAAGCAAACTACTGATTTCCACCTATGAGATCATACTGCACATTAAGTACAAACCATGTGTACTTAACATTACCATGACCATTTACCACAGAGGTGGCCGTGGCTCAGTAGGTAGAGCGGTTGGTGGTTCGATTCCCTGGCTCTCCTTGTCCATGTGTCGAAGTGTCCTTGAGCAAGACATTGAATCCCAAGGTGTTCCCCGGGCGCCCATGGCTGCCCACTGCTCCTAGTGTATAGGAGGGGTTAAATGCAGAGGACAAATGTTGTTTCAATGTATGTAAATGCTGAGAAATGACAATCAAGACTAAAAGGCTGAAAGGCTGTAGCCCTGACTCTTCTTCTTCAAAGAAAAAAGGCCTATTGAATGTATGTCAGAACACACAGTCACAGAAAAAATTACAAATGTCGAAATAGATGCTATACTTTTATTTAGTAAAATAAATAATCAAGACTTTTACTTTGACACACACTTGAACAAATGTGTCCATGCACACACACACACACACACACACACACACACACACACACACACACACACACACACACACACACACACACACACACACACACACACACACATCAATAGAACGACAAGTACAGACTGAAGCTTGGACAGCTCCAGCACTCGAGGGAAATTCATTGGCTAATTGGCAGTGTGAATTTATTCTCATACCCTGAAATCTGGGCCAGTAAGGCTTCAGTGTTTCCAGTACAACAAATATGTTGGACAGATCAACTGGGAGTCGAGGGATGCAACTTGAGAACCGAAATCCAAGTATGCTGGGATCTAGTTTCAGGAGTCCAGAGCACCTGAACTGACCTGAATTGTGTTGATGCACACCTACTTAAACACAGAAACAGGAAGTGCGACCACTTGGCTATGATATATGAGTTCTTCCTGTGGTAAACAAAGAGACCATCGATCAATATGTGACAGGGTGACCAGGTATTACCCTACGATTTATTATACTAGATTTGTTTTTGTTTTGACATGGTAGATTGCAGATATAACAAAGGACACATGGCCATTTTAATAATAGATTAGAGCTTTTATGAGAACCAGATTTTTACTTCTACTGCTTTCTACACACTTGCTACAAACACTGTCCTCCATAAAAATGTTTTGCTCATTATTGTAAATGCATAAAATATCAAATGTTTCTTTCCAAAACCTCAAGTCATTCCAAACTGAAGATTTCACGTCTTTCTTCCTGAGACCAAACCGAATGAAAACATTGAGAGGCACAGCAGCATCTGTCAAAAACTACAGATAAACTAAACATTCAAACAGTACACAAACGTACATGAACAATGATAAATGAAGATAAAGGTTTCATCATTATGTGGATAGTTGATCACTTTAGTTTCATTATATGTGAACCTTTCAGGCCAAAATATCAATTAAACTGAGGATAGAAAGTGATAGATTTACACGAGGGCCCTGAGCCAAATTCCTTCCTGCTCTAACATTAAAACATGTTCTGAGAAACCTGAGACGTTCAACCGAAGTGTCTTAACACAAGGTTGTATAATGACATCAAAGTTTATAGTTCCTTCATGCTACACACACAGAAAAAGATAATCAAACTTTTAGAATAGCATAAAAGATCAATAAATAGAATAAAAATAAAATAAACTAATCTATAAAGTTATTTATCTACATATATACATACACATATACACACAGTCTAAGCTCCAGGGTCCTAAACACTACAATGAGATGGCCCTAGACTGCCTTCGAAATTAAAGTTGTAGCACATATGCGCCTTTGAAAACAAACTTTGACACTGACCGACTGAACCACAAACCGCATACTCTAGCATCAAGCCACACTGGTGTCCTGCAGCCCCCTTTTGAGTGTGATCTGGGTTTCTAGGACAGAAAATCCTCTGCGTTTCGACCTCAGTAATTTTGTGTTAGAAATGCACGTATGAGTAGCTCGTCTTTCAGTTACTGTCAGTTATGAAAACACTAATTAGAATCCGATAAAATGAGAATAAGAATAAGAGAACATTATAATACAATTTGTTTAAATCCTGCTTCATAAGGTGATGATGAGTTATATTTTTTAATGTGGTTCTGCATATCTTATATGTCAATATTGAAATTCTTATTACGGATGTGATATTAATTTTGCCCACAGCACTCTGCTTCAGTGCTGACTCCCATCATATAGCAAGCACCGGCTTTGAGAAAACAAGGAAAATCCCCTCCTTCCTCCAAACAGAGCTTGTTTTGTTAAAGATGAATGAAAATGATTTCATCTAACTGACTTTTGGTCTGATCTGCCTCCATCCCATTGAAGTTGAACCAACTCACTTCCTGTTCAGAGATGGACGACCTGATAGTGAGTTGCTGCCTTTATTTTAGACACTGTACCGCTGTGTACTGGCATCTGTGTGTCTGTGTGTGGGTTCATCCAAATGAAAGATGATCTCATATGTCTCTTCTTTGCATTTTTTAATATTACATCCTTTTGTTGGATTAAATCTTGTCCAATCATTAAACCTAACTATATCTTGTGACCCATGAAAATGGTGCAGTGAATAAATACATCAGTATTTCTCAACCCATTCTGGCTCTGTCTATTTTCCAGAGTTTACCATTAATGGTTAGACTGATTTTCAACTAAAGAATACATTGGATTTGTAAAGAGTTCAGACTTGCTTGATTGATCTCACTGAACATCATGCAGACATAATTTGTTTGTTAGGACTATTGGCACATTCACGGATCCTCAGATCTAGCTAAATCTGATTGCATTAAGCTACTGATCTCGCAGGCCTTTAATGTGAAACCAAGAATTTAATCTGATGAGGTCTTCTAAAATGTCTTCTAAAACTAGTTTAGTCAGGAACTACTTTTGAACCCATCATGTTCTCATGCAACAACAATGTATTAGCGATCCTCTATAAGCAGTATGTGAACATTTTATAAATTATGTATAACAATCCAGAATATAGTTGTAAGCAAATATAAGTGCTTATTAATGCATTAGTCAACAAGTATAACTTCTCGTGTGGGCAACCATAAGTGGAGGGTGCTGTACAAACAGATCCATGACAATATAGTAAAACACAGTTGTAATATAAACTATGTCTTCATAGAAGTTATGTTATACTATATATACTGCTGACAAATACTGTCCATTAATAAACACTAAACATATCCTTAAAGCTGCTTACAACTACATTATACTGGTTTATAAACCATTTATTAAATGTCTATATTATGCTTATAAATGCTATATATGTCACATTGCATTGCATTATGAGACGAGATGAACAGGGTGGTTAGCAAGTTATGGTTCAAATTCAACTGAAGCTGATGCGTTTTAATGACACAATCTCATAAACTGTCTACAAGCCTAATCAGTCGCCTCCACTTGCAGTTAGGAAGTTGTATTACAGTTACAGCCTCATGTTAACTACATAATAGCGATCCCAATAAGTTCCATGACTTTAAATTTGAGGAGAAGAGAGACAGATGGTGTCCAATCAGACTTCAGATCAGGTAACTGGTATTGGCAGAGAATAAGTTGTATCAGTCTCTGCTTACTGGATCATGTGGGAATAACTTGCTATAAATGTACCGAAATGTTTTATTGTCCCATTTCCTGTCTATGTTCATGTAATAGTCATATGAACAGACACAATCTAAAATCCTTTAAAAAAATAGTCCACAATTTACAATTAATGGGCAAAAACTTAGAAGAACACCTGTATGGTCTTTTTTTGAAGGTTTAAATGTATGTGTGTGTGTGTGTGTGTATGCGTGTGATACCATTGTGTGTTTACCAAGAAGCTTCTACCGGCAGAGATTCAGTCAGTCTTTCCCATTGATTCAGAAATCGAATCGCTATATCAATCTATACCCAAGAGTGACGGTTGTTTTGATTTAATAAAAGTCAATTAAAATAAAATAAAGTGATTGACACACAGCCTAGCCGGGAGTTTTATCTGGCTGCACCAGTAATGTTGGATCGAGCTCCAAGGGCTGCAGAACTACTGGCCGATCGCTACTGTGCACCTCAGACAAAAACACGCAAGTATCTTTCCGTCAATCAAACACACATAATCGCACCCACACACACAACCTCAGTCAGTCACTATAAGTTAAGCATGAATAACACAACTATCTGCATTCAATCTTTTGGCAAAAGCTGAAACGGTTAGAAGCTGTCTGCAGCCAAAATCCATCTGGATAGCAGCAGAAGAAGAATTATAGCAGATCTGACAGCTGACGAAGGCGCCTCACTTCAAGCTGCTCGTCAGTTTCCATTGTCCCGTCTTAGGATTCATTCACGCTCTATACCAATGGGTTGCCTGCCACTAATTTCTGATGGCATCCAAAATCTATCCAAGTTTCTGCAGGTCAGTGTTTCTGAAAAGTTCTTGTGATAGCAGCGGTGAGTTTGTCACATGATTATTGTTTTAGAATTTTTTGGGGAAAACTCATTTTTTGTTCTATATATTGTGTTAACCATCATCTGAAAACACCAGAATCTATTCTGGAAAAAGACAACTGATGGAATTAGCTAATTAGCAAAAGCAATTACTCAGTTTTCCTTTTTGTTTTAAACATGTGGACACTCCCCAGAGACATCTTTTATAGAATTAAAGGCCGTCAGATGTTATTCTGTCTAATCTTTTAAGTACATTACAGTGAAATCAGTCTGTGACCCATTTTGATGACTAACCCGTGAGTTAAGAAAAACTGTTGATCATTTCCTCCTACCTGCTTGCTGTTGCTAAGGAAACAAATAGTAGAAAAACACTCAAGGCAAAACAATGTTTTCCAAAAAGTCTTTGAACGTCTGGTTCATTGTGGCTTATAGCACATAGAAAATGGGAATTTTGGAGAAAGAAAGTAAATAACAAGTGCTCTTTCTCTCCTCTGTGGCAAGTGCGTGACCACAGAGTGGAGCAGCTCAGCAACCGACAACAGAGAGCTGAGGCTAAACCGAGCTGTATGAATATGTGCAATGAAATGAAAATCTTGCTGTTGCTAAAATACACCATTAACTTGACCTGAATTAATACAGTACACACACAAAAATCAATAATATCAGCAACAGGGTGAGTATAAGCTGATACTGAGGTAGTGTAATGAAGGATGTGTGACACATTCTAATCAGATTTGTGAGGAGAAGTGATTGTGTTTTGGTCTGACTACACCAAGTCCTTAATGCTTTTATCAGGCCAATGTCAGTCTGATGGTTACATT